GTTCCGTACAAACCTGCAAGGTTTACAAAGTTCGTTCATTACGACATATTTTGTAATGTAACTAAAAATTTAAGGTTTTCGGAATTTTTCCTTTATGTGTGCTATAAAACGTTGCTTCATGCCAAATTTCAAGATTCTAGGTCGACTGGAAGTACCCTTTAGGTTTTGATTCCCTTGCGAGTACTTGCGAGTTTCAAAATATGCAGCTTAAATTGCTGTTTCTTTTGATTGCGTTGACATAGAAGTTTGATTTTGTTACAGCTTAAAGGTATTATAGACCTGAGTATTTGGTATGAATTTCAATTTAATACCTCTACGCGTTTATGAGGAAATGGGTAGTAAGTTTAAAATTATTAAAAAAATATATATTATGTGATGTAACTAAAAATTTATGGTTTTCGTAATTTTTCCTTTATCTATGCTATAAGACGTTGCTTCGTACCAAATTTCAAGATTCTGAGTTCACGGGAAGCACCCTGTAGGTTTTGATTCCCTTGCAAGTGTCGAAAATTTGCGGCATAAACGGCTGTATCTTTTGATTGCGTTGGCTTAGAAGTTTGATTTTTTCACAGCTTCAAGGGACAGTAGACCTGAGTAATTGATATAAATTGATATAAGCTTCATACCTCCACGCGTTCCTGAGAAAAAGAGTCTTGACAGACGGACGGACGGACGGACAGACGGACAACAAAGTGATCCTGACTGATCCTATAAGGGTTCCGTTTTTTCCTTTTGAGGTACGGAACCCTAAAAAGAAGTCCACTATAAGCTTTACTATATTCCTTGAAATCGTTTATAAACATTTATTACAAAATATTTCTGACAAGTAAATGAAGAAATATGCGTTGTGTACGGTCACCATCAACAAAATAACAGGAATAATATAGCACTATTTTCACATCTTTGAACTGATTTAACTCGGTTTGGACTGTGTTTTTGATATAAGACCCCATATATTTTTTTGTTTGTAATGTTATTCTGCATCAGTTTTTACACATCCAATAAACTGCCGCGAAAAATAAAAAGGCACCACGCTCCATACAAATTTGGTCATTGTCATTTAGGGTATTATTACATAAAACAAAACTGTTACAAATAAACTTTTCTGGATTTGTTATGGGCAAATTTAGCGATTACACTTTCAATATCGACTTCTTTAAGCAAGTCATGCTCTATATTCAACATTGTGAAATGATTAAGACGTCCTTGGCCCATAGTGTTCCTTAATTAATTCATTTTTGATTCGTTCAAATCGGGCTCGGTTCGCCCGCCAATGGCACCAACCAAGCGAACAAATAGTCACTTTCCTTTTCTTACACATACAAAATACCGACTATTTGTCTTTTTTCGTTAATTTCGTTAAGAAAAAAAATCAAATTACATGTAGGTTGGTAGTAGTTTTGTAAACAAAACATTTTCTTCATAAGTCTTGCTGTTGAAGTGGTGTTATTACGAAATACCTATTTGAGCGCGGGGCCCCCCAATCCGCGGGGCCCGTAGCATTTGCTACTCTTGCTACGTGGCTAATCCGGCACTGGCGAGAGGTATCGCCTTCCTCGATTAAAAGGTCCTATCAATCCAATAAATATTTTTTAAAACCGCACCCGTAGTTCCGGAGGTTAGCGCCTACAAACAAACTTTTTCGCTTTATAGTATAAAATTCAGCTTTATGTAATGACGTACAAAATGTTTATGCGTACCAGACTATTTTATTCCCTTGCCTTAGTGCCTTCTGGTTTCATATTTAATTTGTGGCTCGTTCTATAAAAGTCTGCTTCAAACTAAGGCAAGGATCTGGACTTTAGCAAGAGGTAATAGCAATCATACGAAATACTTCTGGATAAAAATGGTCCGCTATTCTTTATTACCTATTTTATGGTCTAGTTCTTAGTCAGGATGGCCGAGCGGTCTAAGGCGCTGCGTTCAGGTCGCAGTCCACTTCTGTGGGCGTGGGTTCGAATCCCACTTCTGACATAAGTTAACTTTTTACTTCTGTTTAGCAGTAATTTTTTAACTTTAATTTATCGTATTTTTGACGTAGGTATTTGTGTTTTTGTATTATTTATAGTCATTTGCATGTGTGTCAAAAAGTCAACAAAAAATGATTACTGGATAGAAAGGCTTAGTATCCAACACTAAAAACAAAAATGGCAATACGAAAGAATGACAAGCCGAAAGAAAAGAAATGACATTTCAGATCAGAATTTATTCTAACTTAACCTAATTTCGGTTCGTTGTTTAAAACTTGATATTATTCAAATAAAATACTTATTCGAAAATGACTACAATTGTTGTAAACGATGAACAAGAGCTTATAACGAAGATAGCTTCTAAAATCGAGAAGATAGCTAACGATGCCATTGAGAATCGCGGAAAGTTTTACGTCGGGTTTTCAGGTAAGTAATCAAAGGTCATTTTTATAGCTTCTACTTTTATTTATCTATTCATTAATCATCTTATAAATTATTTTCGAATATTTTAAGTCTGTATACAGAGATAGGGAGATGTGTAGGAATAAAAATAAGTTTGTCTTGAATAATGCCGGCTGGAATATTTAGAGTCAGATATCCATGAGGTACACGCTTGGTACCTAAATAAAAAAAAAATCTTTTGTTTTTTAAGTCTACAGACAATGAATTGCCTACCATGAACTTTACTTATGTCAATTTTAATTTTACGTACTTTGTATATGTATAAGTAGGCGTTTCATTTAACAACCTCGACTTGAGTTAATTGTGTCTATAATGACGGTACTCTAAGAGTTAAAACCCAATAAGACTACCTGACATTTGTAAGTGTAGTTTACATGAAATAACTAGGTCTGACAGCAGTTTTGTTCCATGTTCCAGTGGAATAGAAGTAGTCTATATTATGTTATTCCAGACCATAATGTCCCAAATTACATCTCAATCCCTTCAACCGTTTGACATAATTAAGTAAAAAAACATACACAACATTTCACATTTATAGTATTAGTAAGAAGACTTAAATATTACATTATAAAATTCAAAATGAACTAAAAATCTCGGGTTACTTACTTAAATATAACATAACATCACACCTTTTATTCCTGAAGGGGTAGGCAGAGGTGCACATTACGACACTTAATGCTGCTGTACCATTGTACCACCCACTTTTCACTATTTATGTTATGAGTCCCATGTAATAGGAGGTGAGCCTATTGCCATATACCAGGCACAATTCCAGTCTCCGTGCTACTATTAAGAGATTTTTTTAAAAACACCCAGTAATACTTTGACCAACCCGGGAATCGAACCCGAGGCCCCTTGCCTGGCAGTCGCCCTTGCGACCACTGGGTAGCCAATGAGGCACGTGAATATTCTTATATATAATTATTAAATTCAAATATGAATGTTTTACAGGTGGTTCCGTGTTAAACTACCTCTGTGAGTGCCTCCAAACTGTGGACACTGACTGGTCAAGCTGGGTTGTGGCATTCTGTGATGAACGTTTGGTGCCTGAGAACGATGATGACTCCACCTTTGGCACCTACAAGAGAGAACTGATTCCTAAGACGAAGCTGGTTGAGCAGCAGTTCATAAAGATAAAGCAAGGCGTTTCAGGTTTGTTAATAATTAGGTACTTTTATATTTTATTCACACTTGAAATATTTTCTGTCATTGATTTCAGACCTGGGGTAACAGTTTGTGGATTACAAACTACAACTATATATTACAATTAAATGAATTTGTTTTACCCTGTTATTTTATATTCACAAAAGTTTAGCCTCTATCACATTAATACACATGATGACCTCATTAACCTGATAATTTGTCTTGGACAATATTAACATTTTGTGTGCCCATATAATATGAGACATTGGAAAATGCTTAGCTGCTACTGGCTACTCCAGTCGACTGCCATACCTGAATTTGAATCCCGTGTCAATGCAAAACCAGTGTAACATATCTATCATCTATATTATTTATTACATTTCAGCCGAAGCAGCTGCACAGGATTATACAGAGAAGTTGACCAAGGCGTTTGGCAGTGAAGACTTCGTGTTTGACCTGCTTCTGCTTGGCATGGGACCTGATGGACATACATGCTCCCTGTTCCCTGGACATCCTTTACTGGATGAAACCAAGTTGAAGGTGGCTCCCATCACTGACTCGCCCAAGTTCCCACCGGAGAGGATCACACTCACTTTCCCCACTATAAACAAAGCTAGGAACTGTTTGTTTGCGATCTGTGGCTCGAGCAAGGCGGAAATGATTCAAGTGAGTAGAACCAATGAGATTTTAGACCCTGGAAAGCATTTTTTAAATGTACAATTCACTTTCTGTTGGTTTTGTGTCCTCAATCGTATCACATTCTTAACGTCATACCAGATAATATTCTTGTCGATCTCTATTATACAATGATTATTACATGCACAAGAATTTCAATATCTAAAATTTATAAAAATTCAAGAATTTTGAGTTTAGCCAAGCCTAAGCAAGCCAAGCATTTACCTTGACTCGTTTGCTAGCTTTCTATATTATATTTTCATAATTTCAGCGCATCCTGAAGGACAACGACGAATCGGTGCCGGCGCGCAGAGTGAAGCCTCACAGTGGCTCCCTCTACTGGGTGCTCGACCAACACTCCGCTAAGAACTTGTAGACGCTTATACAAGAACGTATTGCCCTATACATACAATAATAATAGTCTATACTATACACAGTAGGTGTATATGTAATACCTATTTAGTAGGTAGAATTTATATAAAAGTTGTTATGCGAAAACTGACGTCATGCATACACCAAGTCATTTTAAACTTTATACCATTTTAATACTAAAAACACATCTTCAATCCTGGATACTCTTGATTCAACAGAGAGTTTATCAAAGTCGGTCTAGCTGTTTAAGAGTCCCGATGTCGCACGACAGATAGACATGGTAAACTTATATCTAAAACCTCTTAGTTTTTACGTCGTAGTTTAAATTTTTTGAACGAAACGATTTCGTTTTAACTCCAAACATCTAATTTCAATGAAATAATTCGATATAATATTTATTTATTGAAGGCTGCTTACAATTGTATCGCCGATGTATTGTTTTTTAAGAGAAATGACTATTTTGGCTTCAAGAGTAACAATAAAGAATTTGAGTTATAAAAAAACTAAGAGTTTATAGTACAAATTAGAAAAATATATAAATGAATCGTAGTTATGTACTGAGACCTAATCATTCCAACAAAATATATAAAAAATAGAATCTCTAAGTTTTTTTAATTTAACTATTTTCGGAGAAAACAAAGCATTTATTAACGTTCCATTACATTCCTGTACACTGATACTATTAATAAATATTTTGAGGGTATCCATTGAATTTTTATTTGAAATTGCCTTATTTTAACTAGCTTTTACCCACGTTCCTGGGACAAAAATACCAATATGTTGTTGCCGACTATAATATAACTACAAACTAAATCCGTCCAGCCACAGGCTATTCTATAAGATGTCAATTCGAGATGTCCAAGTGAGCTCGATCGCATTCTTCCCCTCATTGGTCGAGATTAGGCGCAGCTCAGAAGACAGACGCACTCTGTGAAAATAGAACCTATAATTATATGCAGTAACGCACGCAAAAAGTGATTGAAAAAATTTAGTGTTTGCTAACGCAGACGGCCCACTTTAGTCGACAATTTGGACATCATTTACTGGATGAAACCAAGTTGAAGGTGGCTCCCATCACTGACTCGCCCAAGTTCCCACCGGAGAGGATTAATCCTATTTGCTAGGGGTGGACGTAACACACGCTATCTATTATCATGGTGCCAGACGTCGACGTAATGATGTTAATAAAATATTACCTATCCGGATTTTCCATTATCCAAATTCCTTCTGAAAATCAATAGTCCGGTTAATCAAGTTTCTACTGTACATCCAGCGGTGGAAATTCGGCTAAACCGCATTGATAACTCAGTGGGTGGTCACTGGCTGCAGCACAGGGAACAACTCCTGTATGATCTACAAATTTATTGTTCCAGGTCTGGGTGTGTTACGTATGTGAATTTGTATTTTGTTATACTGATGACAGAGGAAAAAATCCAAGACTATGGCCACGTATAAAAAAGAAAAAATAACAAACAGTCCGTCCTCTTGACCTGTATTGTGCGAATAATTTATAAATTAAGTGTGGGAGAGCCATGCTTCGGCACGAATGGGCCGGCTCGACCGGAGTGATACCACGGCCTCACAGAAAACCGACGTGAAGCAACGCTTGCGTTGTGTTTTGTCGTGTGAGTGAGGTTACCGGAGGCCCAATTACCCTCCCCTTCCCCAATCCCTGAATCCCCAACGATCTTTAAACTCCTAATCCTCAAAAGGCCGGTAACGCATTTGTAACGCCTCTGGTGTTCCAGGTGTCTATGGGCGACGCCGATTGTTTGCCATCAGGTGATCAGTCTGCTCGTTTACCGTCTCATGCCGTAAAAAAAAATAGGGATAGCTTTGATATCTTAAACTTTGTGATCCTCGGAGTTCCATGTACTTTTCAAGATTATTAGACACCACTGACATACATACTGTAAAGGAAAATATCGAAACAAGAAAAGCAGGGAATGGGGGTTTTGAATTAAACCTACACTGGGGAGCAAAGAAACAAAGACACTGGCGTTTCTTATTTTCATTTGATCTTACCCTCTATAAGCTAAAAAACATATTCTTTATATAACAAAATGGTCACATTTTAATGGTACCTAACAAAATTTCCTTTTACACGACATACGTTACCAATTAATAAAATGCTTGGATCAGAAAATATATATCAAGGAATGTAAAGGAATAAACGGTAGTGGCTCAGTTTGTCTGCTTCCAAGTGTAAGTACACACTGTAGTAGGGGAGCCCATGATGCTAAATTGGGATTTACTTGAGCGTCCTTGGGACCTACTGGATTTTGAAGATATGCTGATAGAAAGAAGAAATGGTTTAGTGACAATTTCTTCCACCAGTGGGGGAAGGGGGAATCTACAGATCTTTGAAATTGTTAAGCGTAACTTTTGTTCTAGTGGTCGAGCGTGTCAGATATTGATAATGTACATGCTCCATGTGTATTTAATAATAAAAAACTCTTAATCTGCCAGTTTGCATGGTGGGGTTGAATGTTCTGGAGAGTACAAACGAGAACCCTTCAAAATCCCCCCACTCTTGCAAATCAAGTTGGAATGGGCAGATTTTTTAAACGCACTTCCTTTAGCACGGTATTGACCTACCTTCCCTTAATCTGACGAAACTGACTTTATTTAGTCAGACTTTTTTTTAAATTTTCAGTCCCCCCCTTCTAATCAGATCGGATACATGTTGGGTATATTCAACATGACACTAGGTTTTCCCCATATGTTAATCTGACGCGCTCGAGTAACTACCGAAATCCCTTCATGGGTTCCCCTACTACTGCATGCAAAACTGTAGGTAAAAGAAGCAAGAACTAATAAATAAGACTTTCAGGATTTATACAAATAGAAAAAAAAAACTTTATTCGATTGATTTCTAGTACAAAGTGGTGTTAGGTAAAAATAAAATAAAACTCGTTCAAGTTCCAATATGTGTAATCCGTCATACTTTCAAATGCCCGCGAGATCATCACAACTGCATTCTTCCACATATAAAAGAGCTCGACTATGATACTCGTTACAATTACGATTATCGTCCTATGACATCTCTTTAATCATTTTTTAATAATAAGTGTTAATTACAAAAAGTATGTCAACTAAATAAAAAACTTCGGCGCGCATAGCGTACCAAATGCTTACATACATATACATACTTTATAAGATATACATAGCACTAGAGGTAATTTCTTTTAAACAATTGAAACCTATGATAGCGGACTTAACGAATGAGATGAGAGTGCACCGACGTCGCCACGACGCTTAACGAATAGAATACATAATTATATTGCATCACTTTACCACGACATCTTGTTAAAAAAAAGAAAAAAAAACGTAGGTTTGTGACGGCGGCGATGCCTTTACACAATGAATTTATATAGTAATGCTGGTTGGGTGTCGCATGTTATGTTCAGTATTGAGCTAGGTATACATCGGAGGACCGCCCGACCCGCGCCTGCAACAAACAACAATACATATCACAAACTGACAATAATATACTCAAACCATCTCCGAACTCAGAAGCAAATTGTTAATAAAAACCAATAAAGTTGCACTGTAAACGCGGCAAGATTATGATAACGAATTGAATAATGAGCTTAGGTGTGGGAGAACCATACTTTAGCACGAAATGGCCGACTCGACCATAGTGAAAAAATGCTTTTTTCAAGTGAGAAAATCATCCAATGACTTAACCTGCCTTGGGTGAGGAGGGAGTGTCAGACTCTTACTGACTAAACTACCCCGTTCCTACTTCTGCTTCGAACCGGAACCCCAGTAACCCGTTAGGTTTTCTACAAATGCTTGTTTTATATCACCGTGTGAGTAAGATTACACGAAGCCCAATTACTCCCCCCCCCCCCAATTCCTGACCTCAAAAAGGTCGACAACGCACTTGTAATCCTCTGTTGTTTCGGGTGCCTATGGGCGGCGCCGATTGCATACCATCAGGTGAGCAGGCTCATTTGCCGGCCTATACCATTAAAAACTAAATACTAATATTGTTTGACGATCGAAATCAATAATGTCAATTTTTTTTTGTGAGACAAACCCACTGCAGCTCCTATAAGCCAGGATCTACAGTAACACCCACGAAAACACCGGAACAATGAAGTCTAGCGCGTCCCAGAAGTACGAAAATAAATCAGAAGATATTTTAAGGGGAGAACAAAAAAACGAAAGTTTCCACTTCCCTCGGTGAATTACTGCAGGAGACAAAATAAATTAAGATGGGGTTTTAATTTCGCCCCTAAGAGTCCTGTGAGATCCCTAGAGTATTGTAGAATCTATACAGCCCTTAATACTATTATATAAAGCGGAAGAGTTTGTTTTTTGTTTGTTTGTTTGAACGAGCTTATCTCCGCAACTACAAATCTGATTTGAATAATTATTTTTTGTGTTGAATAGCTCATTTATTGAGGATGGCTATTGGCTACAAAACATCACGCTACGACCAATAGGAGATGAGCAGAGCGTGTAAAACCGCGCGAAAGTAGCTAGTTTATAATATTAGTAGAATGTTAGTACCTGTAGACTGGCTAGTTAGGCGCCCAGTACGACTGCGAGTAGCTCGGCTTGCTCGCGGCCGGCTTACTGGACGACGCGCGCCCGCCCCCCGCACCGCTCTCCTACGACGTAACGACATACTTGTTAACACCACAATTATACATATTATACTATACAGTATATTCATATTAAAGAAATATTCTTTTACTGCCTGTTCAACTGAGTTTAGCTTCTATTCTGTAGGCATAAGGTTGGCATTAAAAGCAAAGAAAATGTTATAAAACTAACAATGTATTTCATTAAATGCAGCCGCCATTGAACTTTGTACCAACTGGAGACGTAATAAAAGTCAAAATCAATTAAACAGACAGTATATAGGTTTTCTTATGTCTAATTGTACTTTGAACGAAGTATAAACACATAATACATAGAGAAGAGATAAGCTATATTATGTCAATATCATTTGCAGAAGCAAACACCGGCAAATCAATGTATACTAATGTTAGATTTATAAACCTTATCATTTTGTGAATAAAGTTTAAAATCTATTTTAAAACATCCAATTTGAAGTGTTTTGATCTGCTGGGTCGCGTAAATATTAGCTGATTTTATAATAAAAATAAATAAAACAGTACTTTAAAGAAATAAACTTTAAAAATATATTTATAAAGTAATGTGCAAGTAAGTAAAAATACATAAAAAAAATAGTACAAAAAGTTTGTCAGAAGTGGGATTCGAACCCACGCCCACAGAAGTGGACTGCGACCTGAACGCAGCGCCTTAGACCGCTCGGCCATCCTGACATATGGAAGTCTGGCGAAATTATAGATCAGTATTTCAACACTTTATAAAATACCGAAAACTTTATTATAGCACATACTTCGCATATTCTGATTATCAAAAAGTTCACAAAACTCAAAATGAGCACAAACAAAAAAGAAAATAAATAAAATAAGTAAATAGATGCAAACATTCAAACGAAAACATAATTTTACATGCAATTACATATAATTATGTGAAAGGCGGGTAGTAGGTAGATTAGAAACTTTATACATATAAATATATAGCGATAGATAATATAGAAATAACGATTAACCTTTTCAATATATTAATTTATTACTAGTCAAATGTATTTTCTATGTTTTTTTTTATGAAATACTTAATTAATGACGCCTCACGTTAGATTTTATCACAAAAAATATTTCTTAAAAATTGTAGAAAATAAGTGCTTATATTTTTTAATATTTTATTGTATGGTGAAGTCTAAATTATTTTGAAAGAGTTAATGTCTATCCAACAGTGGTACAATTTTCTTTTCAAATTCACTATTGATCTACAAGCAATAGTTTCGACTGTCAATCACAGAGTCTCAGATAACTTTTAAAATATGAAAATAAATATTGAAAAGGTTAACACAACAACAAGTGCACATAACATATATATGTATATAAATAAATATAGTGAATTAATAAATATGTATGTATGTATATATTACTTACCCGCCTATGACTACTGTTCACCCGTACATCCATCTACAAACGAAAGCAAACTCTAAGAAATATAATATAAAATTAAATAAACAACTCAACAAGATCGCATGCATAAACAAAATATATCACTTCTTGGGTATTTTGCCCTTTATTTTGTAAACTTTACAATGAGTCCTGGATTACAATATATTTTTTGTAAAATGAATTCTACATCAAACTCTTAGACCACGACGCGTGATTTAACGAATGTGCAACCTACAAATAATGATAGGCGGCTTCGTGGACAATTTTTCTTGTATCTAAGCAAGATGCAAGCATTTGTCATTTGTAGGCCGCCTATTGTCATTTATAGGTCGCATGCATTTGTCAAATGACCTTCTGGTCTTTTTTTTCTGAGGGGCAAAATCATCCAATGACTTCTCCCACCCGGGTGAGGCGAGAGGCAGTGCTAGACTATTACTGACTAAAAACCACCCCGTTCCTACTCCTGCACTTCGAGCCCGAGCCCCAACAGGATTATTAATATACCAACATCATCGTTTTATTTTCCTAAGGGATTGTCACATATGTCATGTAACACTCTTTTAATTGCATAGTTGACGCAGTGTCTGGGCAACCGACTGCTTCCCGCATTCACAATTCTGTGTATAATACACAAATTATAATATCGGCTGTGGATGTGATGTGTGTAAGAATGTCTATAACGTCATAGGAGAAAATACTACTCCAATCATATTGTTGGCAATTCAATCATAGGCTATTATAGGCTGTCAAACATCACGTTATGGTCAAAAGGCGCCGAGTAGAGCGGGTGAAACCTTTTTTCTTTTTCTTTTTTTTAAACGTTGCCCCACACTAGTATTATCTCCTGTGTCGTGGGTGCGTTTACAAACATACAAGTTCACATACACATGACACCCAGACCCGGAACAACGATCTGTGGATCACACAAAGAGTTGTTCCGTGCGGGAATTGAACCCGCGACACGTTGCCCAATCACCGCGCCAACATACATAACATCACGCCTTTTTATCCCCGAAGGGGTAGGCAGAGGTGCACATTACGGCACTTAATGCCACTGTACAATGTAACACCCACTTTTCACTATTTATGTTACGAGTCCCATGTAATAGGGGGTGAGCCTATTGTCCAGACTCCGTGCTACTACTAAGATTTTTTTTGAAAACCCAGTAATACTTTGCCCGACCCGGGAATCGAAACCGAGACCCCTTGCCCGGCAGTCGCACTTGCGACCACTCGGCCAACGAGGCAGCCCAATCACCGCGCCAACAGTGCAGTCAAAACCGGACGTGAGTATCTACAGAAATGTAGAAACGGGCTGATAACTAGTAGTTTCAAACTTATTATAATGCTGTTATCCAGAACTCATTGAAATTAAATAATCTCAGAGCATATAGACAAGTAATACACTTATAAATTGTTTGAACAAAAAACGTAATATACAGACAATAGCAGTCACTTACTACAATCTGTCACAAATTCAATTTAACTCGTCGAGTACCGTCATTATAGACACAATTATAGAACAATAGGTTGCGGTCACCGGTGTTCTCGCGATGTTTGACAGTTTAATTGTACTTTTGCTGTCGTGAAGCCGTTATCCTCGAAAATGATAGTGCTAATAATAGACCAGAGGCCTTAGTAAGAGTTTCTTTTACGTTTAAACTAATTGTAACGAGTACGCGTTCGGCGCTGTGATTGGTTGCTTCATTGGTACCGGCAAATCAGATTGCCGAAGGCATACTCGTTTCGAATACTTTAAACGTAAATCAAACTCGTACTAAGGCCTCTGGAAATAAGAAACTGTCACTTAGCAGATGAAACTAAATATAGCACCATTATGTCACTACCTATTTCTCATTGATATTTCGTGAGATAGTAGTACATTTCCGATAGAGCCGAACCTAGTTGCTTATAGCAAGTTAAGACTATACCATTTACATAAAAAATTAAGATTAAATAACAATGCGCGACAGATTGTAGAAGCTGATTTGCTGGCATTTGTATAAGTTAATAATAAAAAAAACATCATGCCTTTATTTCCCAGAAGGGGTGGACAGCCGTTTTGTACGGCTCAGAATTACCATATGTAATTCTAGACTTTCATTTATCTAACCTTATTAGTTCTAACTCATTGGTCTAGTGACACAATAGCTTACATTGAGCACTTACGTAAAAGTTGGTCATATTCAAAATACAATTAAGAGAACAAGACTTGTAGTTAAAATTCCGTTTTAGTAAATTGCAAATTACGCAAGTATGATAAAAATCAAGAACTTCGGTAGCAGATTATACAAAATCCCAAAATAATATTAAGTTTTTACTATGCACAATTAATTATGAAAAAGATATTGCTTCAAACTGTACTAAAATATAAGGTGTAACAAAAATAATGCACAATATTTTAGTAGGTCAATTAGTATGTGATAAACATCATTTTTTATGAATATATTTTATAAAAACTTATCAATATTTTTAATTATTCAATTATTATTTTCATTGCTTTTTATGCCGTCCTGCAATATGTACCTATTCCTATGTACCTATTCGAAAAGCTCGGTCGTTGACCCGTAAGATAAACGTCCGCGCGCATCCATACGGCTGGCGTTATGCGTAAAAACACAACAACAATTTTGCAAATGTGATGATACATTTAATTAAACATGTTGTTGTTTACATTTTTTTAGGTAAACATAATCCTTATCATGTACTATATCATCTGTTAAAATATTGTGCACTATTTTTGTTAGACCTTATATATGGTAACTCAGTTTTATACACCTTGGCATACTCCTTTTGGGAAATATATAATTATAAATGATGTTATATTAATGTATTAATAGTAATTTATTTTATAAGAACTATATGCTCTAAAATTATTGAAATTATCGCGTGAACATGCTGCACTCGTGTGATATAAATTATTGCAATCTAACGAATGCAAGTTTCGATTGCTTCGTGGCACCTTATTTTGAATTTATATCATAGACAGACTTATAAAATAGATTATTTTTGAGAGTGTGATGTGTAATTTTTTTTTATTTAATTAAAATTTAATATATGGCTTACTCATGTGAAGTTTACGAGAGAAGCCCGATAAGTTTCAAGTCACACAGGAACTCTTAATTATGAGAGTAGTGTGTGTTTTCATTTAAACTACAAAGGGCATTGATTAAAATTGGTGCCTTTCTTTTTTCTGGCGGCAGTCGATGATTTATGGAAAATATTATCTAGAATGACATTACAAACGAAATTGTCTATGGGCTTATATATGGAAATCTCAGTCTGGACTGAATTATGACCGTTTAAAGGAGCTGGAGTCAATCATTTTACTTCGGTTTTTTATTCAAATTATTCATTGTTTTGTCACAATTCCTATCTTCAAATTGCGCGCCACTGTACTCCGGGCACAGGAAAACCATATCACACCACAATATATTCATATTGCCAGGCACTAATTTTTACTACCTATTTTCTCTCAGTCGATAACTTGCGGGATGCTTCTAGGAGTTGTCTCATGAAGCTTCATGAGCGTCAGCTGTGGTACCATTGGTGGGTTGAGTAGTGGTAGCCGTCCAAACATCTAATAAAGTATATTTTTTTTTGCCATTGACTTCTGGTGGGACACTCATCTACTTAATAGTTAGCATAATCTTTTGAAGAAAGAAAACCGTCGACTTTTAAAGTGATCAGCGCTATTCAATCCGCTACCGACGCCGCAGCTGACAAACAGCATTTCATGGTAGGTAAAGTATTTTGCGGGTTTTTGACTGAGAGGAAATTGATCATGAAAATCTGTCATAGGCCATAAACGGTATACATATAAATTGAACACGCTAGCCAATCAAGCGAAATTTTTCTTTTTCTTCAGCAGTGGTCAGTTAATGGTTCACTCAGTTCTGATTCAGTGGCAATATAACAAAAAAAAAAAAACAAAAACAAAAACAATGAGTAAAAAAGTCCACAATAAGCTTAATTATATTCCTTGAAATCGTTTATAAACATTTATTACAAAATATTTCTGACAAGTAAAAGGAGAAATATGCGTTGTGTACGGTCATCATCAACAAAATCACAGGGATAATATAGCACTATTTTCACATCTTTGAACTGATTTAACTCGGTTCGGACTGTGTTTTTGATATAAGACCCCATATATTTTTTTGTTTGTAATGTTATTCTGCATCAGTTTTTCCACATCCGATCAACTGCCGCGAAAAAATGAAAAGGCACCACGCTCCATACAAATTTGGTCATTGTCATTTAATCTTTAAACATTACTTTTTGAATGATTACATTGCTAGACATTATTTATCATTATTTTGAACATGAATATGTTATAAAACACTGACTCTTTACGTTAAAAGTGTAGGTATAGGTATGTATGTAGTACGGTGGCGGTACCTGGTGCTGCTGGGGCGCGTGGTGGTGGGGGTGGTGGTGGGGGGGCGCGGGGATGTAGAGGTGCGAGGCGCCGCCGAAGGGGGGCGGCGTGCCGCTGTGGAACGACGCCTTCTCGTAACTCTACAACACAACACACGCTCACTCACTGGGACTCTACCGGTGCCATCGCGCTCGTCCTTCATTCGAAACTACACTATACAACGAGCGACGAATTCAAATTGACGATGCAAAAATTACTAATTAAGAATTAATTGAAATAAATCAATGTTTTCACTTTGACTTTTTTTAAGGCTGGCAACGCTTTTTCTTTTTTTATACTGAATAAGTCAACGTTTGACCACTAACTCGCCTGGACGATGGAGCAAGAGTGTCTGCAAGAGCCTGACCAAATAGATTGCTTAGTTAATTTAGCAATGACAGGATACTAGTCACAGAGGACACTCTTCCTCATGAGTCATTTTTAGTTAATTCAGTATATCTTACGATAGTTATTAGATTGCTTATAGGCAGACGTGCTCCATCGTGGAATGAATCATCGCTTACCACCAGCCCAGATAAACACAAACTCCTTTGGTGTTGCAGGTGACCATGGATGGCGCCGATTGCTTATCATCAGGCGATATTTACCGCCTTATCGCATAAACAAAGCCCATTACAGTCTGACTAACTGACCATCTATAGGTTATCTATAATTCTACGTTTAGCAAGCAGCTTAGATATCAGTTTAAAAAAGTTTCAATATATCAGAGAGCGCTGCAGTCCCTTAGTCGGCTCTCCCGACACCGACCGCGGGAAGATAATGATAATAGCAAATTTATACCTGCCTCCACCACACGGCCAATAGCAAAAAATCTATCCAACCCCCTTAGTAAAGGGGTAGGCTTAGTAAAAGCTTTTGTTAATAAAAGCTAAGCATTTCTTTTCCTATATAGTGTTTATAAACACAAATTTCACATACACATCACACCCAGACCCAAAACAATTTATGTTTCGTTAGGGAATCGAACCCGTGATCAGTCGCGACGCGACTTTATTTCATTACAAAGCTTTTGTTAGTATAAACATATAATACACATAAATATAACATCGTTTAATTGAAAATAGTATGCAAAGGTGTAATATTGTATGAATTAGTAAATGTACAGCATTGATTTTTGTTTCCTACCGGACCCATATTGTTATTTTAGTAAAAACAGCCCCAAGCTAGGGATCAAATCCAAGAACCTTGGCTCAGTATTTGCTATCGAGATCACTTCACCAATGAGATAATTGTAACAATACAGTTTATAGTAATAAAAATTTAATAATATTGTTTTACTTGATACAGAATTCTCGGAAAATATTAATAGCTTCCGAATTGAAGAGTAATGTACACAATTATTATTAATATAATCATGACATTACGAGTCGACAAGACGACAAAGCCTCTTCATAGTATTTCATTTTCATTAAAACACTGGGTCTTTTGTGTAGGTGTCCTAATAGAACGCAAAACGTACAGTTAAATTATAAAGAATCTATGTTGACATCTTCTCTAAAGTTTAAGTATGACTGATTTTAATTTAATTATGATATTTGACTAAATTTTGTATGACTGCGATAGTATGGTATTATTGATGTATGGTATAAATATTAATTAATTTTATGGATCTCTTAGATGTCCGAAATAAATGATTTTTATTTTAATTATTTATAAAGTTTCGATAGTTTATTCGCGTTCTAATAGGACATTATTATTAATGTTAGAAAGTAGTGTTGCAGTGTGGTAGTGTGGTAAGTAGCAAGGTATAGTATAGTAATGCGATAGTGTAGTATTGAGTGAGTGAGTGATAGCGTAGTAAGTAGGTAGGTACTCACGTTGACCTTGTTGAGTGCGACGTGAGTCTTGGCATACATGGCGTTAGTGAGATCCGCGGCCGCGCCGCCTGCAGACTTGTTCGCCGTACCACTGTACGGGCCACCTGTACGATAAACAAATGTTTACTCCTCAAACTGTCCTAAAAACATATGTCGAACAATATGACTAGTATTAGACTAGTTAACATAGTCTCTGCCTACCCCCATGGGAGACAGGCGTGAGTTAATGTACGAATAAACTATTGCGATGTCCTAGTTCCTCTCAGATTCATAAGTCAGTTCGAGAGCGTCATAGCTTCTTCCAGGATCGTTGCGTCACGTCTTTGCGTGAGCTGAAGGACCCGTGAAGTGTTGAATGAGCCAGTAATGTAATGGTAACTGACCAGGTTTGTATGAGTCCTTTGAATGAACTAGTAATGCAATGGTAACTGACCAGGTTTGTATGAGTCCTTTGAATGAACTAGTAATGCAATGGTAACTGACCAGGTTTGTATGAGTCCTGTGCGTCGTAAGGTTGTTGTTGCGTGTAGGTGGAGACCTTGCCTTGCCCCGACACTCCGCCAACTCCCCCGACTCCGCCCACTCCGCCTACTCCGCCCACGTTGGAGCCACCGCCGTACTGGAAATATTACATTTTTATAATTATTTTTTTATATCACTGATGGGATGGAACGCAATTACAGGTTACATGGTAAGATTGAAATTTTCGAATAATTTGCTAACTAACGATAATGTCATAATCATAAAATATCAGCTACGAAACGTCCACTGGTGAACATAGGCCTTCCCAGGTAACTTCCAAATCGGTCGGTGAGAGCCATGCTTTTGCACGAATGAGCAGGCTGAATGGCAGGCAGGCAACCGTCGTGAAACAATCACAGCAGTGTTTACTGATGCGAGAATTAGGTTACCAGTAGCCCAATCCTTCTTCTCAATCTTCAAACCCCAAAAATCGGCAACGTACTTGGAACTCTTCTGGTGTTGCGTATTCCGTATGGACGGCGCCAATTGCTAGTCATCAGGTGATCCGTCTGCTCAAAATAATTAAAATTATACTTACAGTGGGATAAACTCCATATTGATACGTGGTGGGTGGAGGTTGGTACGCGAAGTACGCGTAGCCGGGAGGCAGCGCTGCCGCGGGGACCTATCGGACAAAACATCGAGATTTATTATACTATACCATTTTAATAAAATGCAATCTAATACTAGCATTTTTGTCGCATACATTTAGCTACTAGCCAAATGCCATTTAAGCGCTTGTCTACCGAAAGAGTAGAAATAACTTTGAGTTTCTTGCTCGTTCTACTTCATTCGAAACTACACTTTGGACCGAGCACCTAGCTTCACTGACAGACTGACTGCAAATAAGGTATGACTGACTTATCAACTGACTTCAAATAAAAGGAGGAGGATCAATTGGACTTTAGTCTTATATAACATTGTACTTAGTATACAATGTTATAGCTACTTTCGCCTGTGATACAGGGCTTTCCTAGTACAGGCATCTAACTGTAGTACAAGGTCTACATCGCTTATTAAGATAATATTTTGTATTTTGCTCATTTTATCATGAATAAAGATTATTATTATTATAATATTTCGACGGTATATTGATTTGAAATATCGCGTGAAGTCACTTCTAGGTTACTTTTTATACGTAAAAACGACGTTTTAACCACTTCTAAACTTTGATTCGTTTTGTATAAGTATTGTTTTCTTATACGACAAAATAAAAAATACGTGTCTAATATTTTTTCATTACCTAACTGACGGACTAAATAGATTTTTAAACTTTCCTATTCAATTTTGACGTCTCAAAAGAGCCTAATAAATATTTTGGCGTTGACTGTGAAAATTTACATCAATTCCGTATAATTTTATTTTCTAATCTCTCGGTAGACAAGCGCTAAATGGCATTTGACTCATAACGCTGGACTCATTCTAAAAGGCTGAACTATTTTATTACTACAACTTCATGGCCCGTTTTCAACCAACCCCTCTTAAATATAAGGGACCACTGAGATAGGTGACATTTAACAACATTTTGCTTTTCATCAATCTATAATTGACACCTAACAGTAAGGGGTTACTTTAGGTGCTATATCACGCTAAGTAATTCTTAGTTAAGCGATCGTTTACTGGTACTGGTTGGTGAAAACGGCCATTAGTAAGTTCATAAGATTCCTTTTCTAAATAAAATCGAGTATCAATATATTTTTTTGTAACACAAATAGGTTTGTAACACAAATAGGTTTGTAACACAAATAAAACAAGACATTTAATAGCCGATTTGTTTATTTTTCAGCCTTTCAGAAATCGGGCGTTACTTACGTGAACTATTCGAGGAAAGCTCTACGAGTTTCGACTCACATCGGGTCTCTTAATTAGCAGCGGGCACTAATAGAGGTTTCCTCAATTATTTCATGTAAGCAGTATGTTAAAATTAAATCTAATGCTACCGCCTATCAAAGGAAATCTATACTAATTTTATAAAGAGAAAAGATTTGTATGTAAGTGTTTGTAAACGAATTAAATATTAAACCGATTTTTAAAATTCTTTTACCATTTTGCATGCTATAGTATCCCTGATTAATACGTAATATATAGGCTATTTCGTCATTCTAGTAAAGGCCCCAGTAAAACATAATCCTAAATGGTATAATTAATTAATAATAAGTATAATTTCTATGAATTTTACAACATCAATTCAATTTTGTTGCGTCAACTTTCCTGTTTTTCTTATTTTAATAAATTAGCTAGAAGACTAAGTGTGTACTAAACGCAATCAATAAATAATATGTTATTTTAAAGTCGTCGAAACGTTTATATTTGATTTAGTTATACTGCGGAAACATTCCAATACTGAGAGCGTAGTACAAGTTTCAGAGCGCCGAATGCGTACTCGTTTCAATTATTTTAAACCTAAAACAAACTCGTACTAAGGCCTCAGAGATGTAAACTTTTGACAAATATACTTAGGGCCGATCTTTCCAACGCCAGATAAATTTTAACTGAGGAGTTACTATGAATATTTGACAATACTTCCATACAAAAAAACCTGTCAAATATCAATTTTATTCTAAGTTTAACGACGATTGAATAATCGGCCCTTCATCATCAACAGCCTCTAAGTGCCCACTGCTGAGCAAAGCCTCTTCCCACACGGAGAAGGTTTGAGCATTAATCACCACGCTTGCTCAATGCGGGTTGAATCGGCCCTTAATGGATAAAACATATGAACTATGCAAAGACATTAAACGAATTTTTGACTAAAGCCTAACAAAAAGCCGTATTAGTAAGGTTATTGGAGGTCCACTCTCCCTGTCTGTAATCCCAAAATCTATCCCTATTCTCAAATTCATATACCTCAAATCGCCGGTAACGCATTTAACTCCACACTGGTATTGCTTACCATCAGCTGATTCGTAAAAAAGCAGTGTAGTAACTAGTAAGCTAAGGGACGATAACTCAATATTTATTTGTATCGCTGGTATATTTCAGCTCCAAAATCTATATAGTTTTCAGCACTTATAAATATATCTGCGAGGTATAGTCGGTCAGAGTGTGAGTGTACTTGTGTACTTACTCGAGCGCTGAGCGGCTCAGGCGGCGGGCCCCTGCAAAATGGTCAGCCGCGTCTAGTTACTACTAGAATTCATCACTACTCGTACTTAGGTAGGCTTATTTAGCTCTTAATTAATGTTATTCTAGTGCTAGTGTGAAGTATGTAAGGTGCAACAGACTCGAATTAATAAATAAGGCTGTGGCTACACACATGGAAGATTCGATATGATGAAATCTACCGATGACGTCACACAAAACCTACACCGCAAGAATACACGCGAATAAACTTGCATAGAAAACTGCCAAGCAGTAGATTGCTAGACACGATCACCTCGTCTGGTCGGAGTTTCCTGCTTTTCCGATTTTAAGGAACTTTAACTCTGTTCCCTAAAAGACTTTTTAGACTAGCTATTGGTTAATCTCAATAACCTATTAATCGGTAGATTAGACGTCTAGAAATAGTATAAATTTTCACGTGAATGTTAAATTATTCTATCTATATATATATATATATGAACATGAATCCCTTTTTCCCTTGGTCACGGCATCACGCGTGAATGGCTGGACCGATTTCACTAATTCATTTTTTATTGTATTTGTTATTATTAGGAGAACGTTCTCAAGACAGAATAAATCCTGAAAATCCTACGGGAACGGGACAAATCGGGATTACGCGTACGAAGTCGCGGGCAGAAGCAAGTATTCAAATAATATTCTTAGTAGTCAAACCTATTTCATAAGTAGTGTTACAAATTGAACATATCTTATCTGTTCCACCTTACATACTATGTTTTGTATTAAATGTACGTTTTTATAGACTTATGCTACATGTATTGTGTTAAGAGTGTAAGATTACTATACATAATAATTGTTAATTTAAAACACTGTCTTACAAAGTCATTTACCTATGAAATTACCTGTTTCAAGAGCTAGAATGGCAATGTCATAGGTAAACGATTTGTAAATCGTATATTAACTTTACTTCGGTTTAATATTACTATCAGTAAATTAGGAAAGTATACAGATTTTGCTAATTAAACTTTAACTAAGGTGTTTTAAAGTCAATTTTGACTTGAAATGTTATGCGATAAGTTCGAAAACATATTTGATTCCAAAGTAAAGTTAACGTACATAATATCCGACGGGAAAATGAAGCTATATAACTGTTTGAGTTCACTGACTGACACATTTATTTTCTATTTGTTGACGTTTCAAAAGTACCAAATTATGGTTTAAACTGTCAAACACCAAGCGGTCACCGATGACCGCAACCTATTGTTCTATAATTGTGTCTATAATGACGGTACTCGATGAGTTAATTGAAATAAATGCTTTGACTATGACTTTCACATCAATGAACAGCATTTTGTTTGAGCGACTCGTGTGTCCTGAGTAAGTTCTAAAGTTGCGATTAGTACATGGCAGACAAGTAGTAACAGTCTCAATTTTTTTGATGATTTATATTCCTATACACTAGCAGGATGTTGGATTTTACCTGCATTAATGCAACATTGTATTAAACTTCCATAAACAACGTAACAAACCGACTTCATTTTTTTATTTTAGTCAGTTCATATACTAAAACTCTTTTCTGAAAGCCACATTCAAATTATTTATTTATTTATTAACACTTTAATGCACACAAAATAAGGTACATAGGCGGACTTAATGCCATATGGCATTTTCTCCCAGTCAACCTTATTATTACAGGTTCTATACATTCTTGTTCATTGTTAGTCTGTGAATTTGATTATTCGTCTAGTTTGCCAAGCTTCAGTTTCCCGTGTGTACGTTAGTACATGGAGCGTGTAGTACCTGTTGAGGCGAGGCGGCGTCAGTTCGTCCGAATCGTTCGCCGGCGCTGAGACCAAACGTCGCGTCCCGGCCGCCGTAGCCTACCTCGTAGTAACCACCCTGGAATCATTTAAATACTAATTAATTTAGTAATAGTTAAAACTAAACAATATTTAATCCCAAATAGTACTATAAGTGTGAAAATAACATCACGCCTTTTAATCCCGAAGTGGTTGAGTAGAGGTGCACATTACGGCACTTAATGCCACTGTACAATATAATACCTACTTTTCACTATTTGTTATGAGTCCCATGTAATAGGGGGTGAGCCTGATACCGCCATAGACTGGATACAATTCCAGACTCCGTGGTACTAGTGAGATTTTTTTGAAAAACACCTAATAATATTTTACTGACCTGGGAATCGAACCCGAGACCCCTTGCCCGTCAGTCGCACTTGCCTTGCGACCACTTGGCCAACGAGGCAGTCCATCTCGTTGTATGCAATTTCAATCAAGTATAAATATCTAAACTAGTACTTTACCCCTCCATGAATAGTTCTATGACTTAAAAGCATACAAGCGCCCTCTAGCTAGCGGAAAATGACAATTTAGGTAGTTTTAAGCTGTTTAGGGATTAATAATGTGTAATAATACAGTACCATATGGTGTGGTAGACTGGAGCGCATGATTTGGTCATCGTAGGGCGCGTAGGGCGTCGCCCCCGCGCCGTACAGCGCGCCCGACGCGTAGCCCGACGACCCGTGCCCTGATACTGGGGGGACAGACATTGTGAGGTTTATATCGAAACTATGTAAGACAATTGATTGTGATCTCATGTATATGTTAAATGGTATGTAAGAAGGAAAACAAGCTGTTTTAGTAAGAGTAGTAATAAAAGCTCCGACAAGAAAAGAAGAATTGTCCTTACTGAAAATATTAAATCTACTGCCTAAAATACTAACTTTCCGACTACTTTACATGACTGTTTATTGCTACAATACTAACCTAACCTAACCTAAAACGTCTGCTGTCGGTAACTTAGTAATTTTGTCTGAGATTCAATATTCTATTCGGAAGTTTAGTTTTGTTATTCGAAGATCCATTTTTATAGTCGGCCACAAATCGGTGGAGATTAATTTGTTTTTGGAACCATTATTATTTTCCTTTTAGTAATAATTTCAAGTAAGTAAATTCTTTTTTTCAGGGACTGAAAGCGGTTAAGGTATAACGGTACGGTACCGGTATAAAATAAGTGTACCGAAATTAAAGCTATACCGGTATTTAACCTTTATGCGATAACGGTACCGAAAAACTTAGATTTGACCGTTGCGAGACGTAAAGCTAGGAGTGTGCGGGTTGTGGTGCGAGGGGCCCCACTCCGAGGCGTGGAGCAGCGGCAAGCGAAAAACGCGCGCCTGTGTACCTGTTTATTCGTGTCACTGCTGCAACTAAACTACGCTACCGTTGTATGATTTGTGTGTACCGTACCTATCTAATAACTATATAATAGTCGTGTAACTATTAACTATGAGGCGGAAACGTAAAAATGCAGTATATGGATTGAGATATAAGTACTAATGAGTACATGCGTTTTTTTCATTTTCCAAGGAAAGTAATGTTTCTACATATTTAGTAACTGGATGCTTAGCTATAATAAAATAAGTATTGTACCCATTCATTGTAAACTTTGACCGGTCAGTGAGTATAGATGCAATATAGGTACTACTTATACAACCTATACCCTAAATGTAATTGGTAGGTATGTACATAATTATCTATCTTGTAGCTATAAGATACCTAACTATAACATTTATCTTATTATTCGGTACGTACCTATCTAAACTTTCGGATATCCTAGGTAGGTGTGTACCTAAGAACATCGTAATGTTTGTTTACTTATATTACATACCTACATAAAACCAGTCATTGGGTATCGTTCGTTAGGGTAGGTACTTACCTAAACTTTGATTATTTACTAGGTATATATAATATTATGTTCATAAGATGAATAGGATTAGGTACCTACCTTGGAATTTTAACTACAATTATTATATAATACAAATTATACAAGCCCAAACACAAGGTAGTTACTATAAACCGTTGATGAGTTCCCTTAACAATTACAGTTCTTCATCATCAGACCGTCAATGATTAGTCCTACTCCATCTAGGTGTAAAGTTCTCATCAATACAAATCAATCAAGCCCAAACACAAGGTAGTTAATATAAACCGTTGAGGAGTTCCTTTGACTGTCTGTCGGCTCCATCATCAGGTCGACTCCAGACCCTTTTCAAATTGTACATACATACTTACATAACTTCACGCCTGTCTCCCACGGTGGGTTTTTTCATCACCTATCATTACCTGACATTCTGTTATCACCTCATTTCTTTCTATCACCAACACTTTCGTCTTGTTCACATTTACTTTCATACCTTTCCTTTCAAATGCATCATTCATAGCAGTGATCATTTGTTGTAATTCTTGGGCCGACGAGGCAACAAGCACTGGTCGTCGGCATACAACAATGTTTTAATCACTGTGTCATTCATCCTTAATCCAGACTCTCCTACTTTCAGGTCGTTCAAACAGCTGTCCATAAATAGGTTGAACAGCCAAAGAGATGCTACACAGCCTTGCCTAACAACTCGATTAATTTTAAACCACTCTGTGTAGTCCCCATTTATTCAGACAACGGCACTCGAGTCCTTATATAAGGATTTAAGTACCCGAATCAGGTGGCTATCCACCCCATACATGGACAGAGTTGACCACAATTCATCCCTCACCACTCTGTCATAAGCCTTTTCTAGGTCTATAAAGGCACAAAATACCTTTTGGTGCTTTGATAACACTTTCTCTGAAATGAACCGTAACGAAAAGACTTGATCCGTACATTTCTTGATCCCATTCCCTTTCGAAATCCCGCTTGCACATCCCAGATTTTACGCTCAGTTACATCCATCACTCTTTCGATCAATACCTTGGCATACAACTTTCCTACTACGCTTAGGAGGCTTATACCGCGATAATTTTTGCACTCCTGCTGTGATCCTTTTCCTTTATACAGTGGCACAATTACGGCCTTGGCCCAGACTCCAGGGACACGACCGCACCGCCAATACTTATTAAAAATTAGATACACCAGGCTTGCAATTACACCTCCACCCTCTGTTAGCATTTCAGTAGTTATCCTATCACATCCCGCTGCTTTACCTACTTTCAAACTCTTAATGGCACTCACAATTTCATCCATATTTATTTCTCCCACATTAGCACTTTCATTTTCATCGTTTACTTCCTCTTCTTTCAAATCACTCCTTTCAAATAAATTCTCGAAGTATTCCTTCCACTGCTTTAAAACATCCTTACTTTCTTCAATGACACTCATTTATATCCCTTATCGTACTTACTTTCGAGTCCCCCACTTTGCCTCTGGCCTTTCTAACTAAATGCCAGAATAGTTTAGCGTTGGCTCGAAAGTTCCGCGAAAAATTCCTTTCAAACTTTTCCTTGCATTCATTTTTCTTCTTGTTAACTACCGCTTTTGCTCTCTTTTTGAGACTAATGTACTTTTCTATCATACTTTCTAGCACTCTTCTATTTGCCTTTGAGGCTAATAAGTCGAGCCATGCTTTCTTCTTTTGCTCTATCACCTCTTTTACTTCATCATCCCACCATTCATTCCTCTTGCTTCCAGTGTTATTTTTCTTGCTTACCCCACATACTTGAGTAGCTACTGCGATCACTCCATCCTTAAATTCCTTCCAAAATTCTTCTATATTCCTTTCGTAACCTTTCATTAGCTCCCTAAACCTTTCATTTAATAGTTTCCTGTACTGGTCCCTAGCTGCCTCTTCTCTCAACCGTTCAACTCTCACTCTCTCGGTTCCAAGCAACCTTACCCGTGGCCGATGTCTCCACTTCATTGCCAGTCCAGCTATTCTAGTAATTACTAGGAAGTGGTCGCTTCCGACATTCGTGCCACGGTAAACCCTTGTATCCTTCAGTTTTGTCCTCAGGCGTTCATCAACAATCACAAAATCAATCGTACTTCTTTCTGTATGCCTCTGCCATGTATACATATGTATCTTCTTGTGACCAAATGTTGTGTTGGTCACAAAAAGTTCCTTTTCTACACATATATCCAGAAGACATACACCATTCTCGTTCACTCGTTCGTCTCCAAATCGCCCTAATACTCTATCGTACCCATCGCGTGCCACTCCAACCCATCCATTAAAATCTCCAAGCATAATTATTCTTTCATTCTCTTTACATTCATTAAGAACATCTCTCAAGTTATCCCAGAATACTTCCCTCACCCCAATTGGCTTTGAGATGTCCGGGGCATAAGCACAGACGACAAATAATTTGGTCAAGCCAATTTTAAGGCGGATCTAAAGTATCCTGGGACTCACACATTTATACTCTTTCACACATTCATTCATCCTTTCAGATAGTATGACCCCCACGCCCTGGCTGCCTCTCTGGGAACTTGCAACACCAGACCAGTAAGCAATATATTGGCCATGTGTGGTAGTCATACAACCCTTTCTTTTCGTCTCGCTCATCCCTAACAAATCAATCTTTCTTGTATTCATCATCTCACATATTTCTAACATCTTGCCTTCTACGCCTCCACACACATTCAGTGTAGCAAAAAGGCAATCCTCAGCCCGCTTTCTGCCTACTCACGGGGAGACAAAACGTGACGTGTGGCAGAGCACGTCGCCGTTGGGAATTTGCCAAGATACGACGGGGCTGCCTGAGCAATCATGCTCAGGGAGGGATTCTCCAGCGGAGCTGGTACCCTCCTGGGGTAGAGTTTAAAAATCCTAATTGAATAACAATACACATATTACACGCCCCTACAATTTTCGAAAGTTCTCCTCGGTTTTCCTAGGCTTCTATTATCAGATCCTGACCTCAATGAAAAGGACCATCTCGGGAGTATACCCTTTGAATCAAAACAAGAATTCTGGAAATCCGCGCCCGACGAGGTAGAAATAAAAAAACTTTAGGCATTTAACCAATTTTTGACAAAAATGTCGTGAAAATATATACCTATAAGGTAAAAAAAATATTATAACACACTACGTTATAATAAACTATAGTAATGAGCTATAGTGTAATAACATAAAAAGTGTAATAAAATAGTACGCACGCAGCGTCTGTGTGTGAGCGTGTCTACTGGCGTTAGATCGCCGCCGCGTGCCGTACGCGTCGACAACGAGTAGGTAAGATACTAGTACTTAGTACTCGTTACGTGTCAACTAGAAGTATGTTATTATCAGATTACATAAGTAGTAATAAGTACATATACTTACTTATTTCTGTTATTATAAGTTTTCGTGCGTTATTTGACATTGTTAATAATTGTTATCTCAATTCAACTCAGCACACCATAAAATATTATAACGCGAGCCGCATGTGATTGTGTCCAGAGAACAAGCCAAACTAATGCAATGCGATGAAATAGGATAGATGATCTAGCGCGGTCAATATCTCTCTCATACCTTTATTATTCAGGTTAGGATACTGGTACCGAAATATACCGGTTTTCATTTCATACCCAAAAATAGCGGTACCGAAATTAAATTTCGATACCGAAATTAAGCGGTAACCGTTATTTAACGGTATGACGTCATACCGCAATTTAAAGGTATCGTAATTTTTCGGTTATTCAGTCCCTGCTTTTTTTATAAAAACTTTGCCTCACGCTAGGATTTTCTCCTGTGTCGTGTGTGCGTTTACAAACATACAAGTTCACATACACATGACACCCAGACCCGGAACAACAATTTGTGGAGTTGACACAAAGAGTTGTTCTGTGTGGGAATCGAACCCGCGACACGTTGCGCGGCAGCCAGTTTCCCAACCACCGCGCCAACTGTGCCGTCGATTAATAAATAATATCAAAAATAAAACTTTGTTCTTGAATTCGGAACAAGTATCTATCAGTAATTACCACCAATGACGATGAATTAACGATCTGACACTTTGCTTTTATAATTGTGTGTTAAATTTGTTTGTGAAATAAATAAAAAAATGTAATCATGAAGGAACATGACAAATAAAACAGATAGATTTATTATGGTAATAAGTTATTTTATAAATTGTCGCCGTCATCGCTATCGCTATCCTGTCACTTTCTGTAACATTTATTATAAAACACACAAAGTGATTGTTTATCGATTTTTGTGTTCATCACTACACTATTATATGTGGTATCATTATTTCACAAAATAGCTATTGTCAAATCTGGAATCTAATTAAAATTCTGACTATAGTGTATTGTATTTGTATTACCTGTGGTAGTTGCTACTTTGGCTGTGGAGGTTTGTGTCTGCGTCGTCGTGCTAGTTAAACTATTACTCGACGCTACTGAGCTCTCGTACTGAAACATACAGATAATATAGTTATGTATGGTTATATAAATATTTTTATTGAAATCATCACTCCTTTTATACCCTAAGGGGTAGGTAGAGGTGCACATTACGGCACTTAATGGCACAGTAACAATAATAGGGGGTGAGCCTATTACCATATACCGGGCAAAATTCTAGACTCCGTGCTACTACTGAGATGTTTATTAAAATCGCAGTAATACTTTGTCCGACTTGGGAATCGAACCAGAGACCCCTTGCCTGGCAGTCGCATTTGCGACAACTGGGCCAACGAGGCATTTTATTTTTAATAAAAATAATTTACTTTTAGCTTAGGAAATGCAATTATGAAAAATTTTACGCCAGACTGAATATAAGCAAAATTATTCGAAAAGTATACCTGTGCGTTCTCCTTGGCGGGTTGCTTGGGCATGGCGGGCGTGTAGGGCGCGTACGGCGCCGGCGTGTACAGCGCCGAGCCGGCGTACGCGGCGGCGGACGGCGACGTGACGTACGACGACAGCATGGGCCCGTACTGGCTCAGCGCGCCGCTGCCGCCGCCGTACGTCACCGACATGCCCGACCCGCCCGTCAGGGACGCCACCGTCGAGTTCACCTGCTGGGGACGCCATGACATATTGTATTTAGAATAAGAGTAGCATTTCTACAGCTTAGTAATTATGGTCATGCAAACTAAATGCGCGTTTGAATTTTCAGCTACATCGGTTGAAGATATTTGCTTCAAAACTTGCAAGATTGCACTTTGCACATAAGTTAAATAAAAGCATATTATATAGTATATAAGTATTATATATAAGTATTATATACTATATAAGTGTGGGAGAGCCATGCTTCGGCACGAATGGGCCGGCTCGACCGGAGTGATACCACGGCCGAGCAGAAAACCGACGTGAAGCAACGCTTGCGTTGTGTTTCGTCGTGTGAGTGAGGTTACCGGAGGCCCAATTACCTTCCCCTTCTCCAATCTCCCCAATCCCTGAATCCCCAACGATCCTCAAACTCCTAATCTCCAAAAAGCCGGTGACGCACTTGTAACGCCTCTGGTTTTCCAGGTGTCCATTGGCGACCCCGATTGCTTACCATCAGGTGATACGTCTGCTCGTTTACCGGCTTATGCCACAAAAAAATAGGCTGTTTTGTAAAGATGTTTCATAAAAATATCATTATGAACATCTAGAAATCATATACGATTGTAAAGTTATATCGTGTTTAACAAAATGCATTAAATTACAGACAATTAACAAATTTAAAATTATCAAACACATACAATCGAAATGAACTAAATGTACACAATGAATTAAAACGATGTTATATAATATTCTGTGTCACCGTTTAATCCCCAAGGGGTCGCAGACTGCTCTCTGCTGAATGCATTGAAGATCTTATTTTTGATGTTTAGAGATTACTTTTGTATGAAGACATTTTGGGACATTTTCGGTACGATATATGACCGTAATATTATCCTCATGGCATTATACTAGAGAGCATGTACAGTATTGCCGGAATATTGAAACGTTACTTAATTTTAAGTCGTGCTTAAATATCGTGCTGTCTCTGTTATTTTACACAGAATTAGTAGTGACAGATCTATACTTAAGCGCGGGTTAAAATTGAGTAGCGTTTCAGTATTCCGGCATTAGTCAAGTAAGTGAGTGGTACCTGTGGCGCGTACACGTTGGCGCCGTACACGGCCGGGTGGTGCGACACCGCGTGCGCCGCGTACACGGCCGCCTGCGGGGACATCTTGGATCAATCACTTTTTAAACCCAGTTATATTTTGCTAAACCCGGGAATCGAACCCAAGACCCCTTGCCCGGCAGTCGCACTTGCAAACACTAACGAGGCAATCGTTCTCTGCTATTTCTTGCTTGTTAATACTGGCGACTCAATTCACGGCAGCCTAGCCAACCTACATCTATTTCGCCATCAATACAGATAGATTTTTTAAATATATCATTAATATGGTTTCTCCAAATATTCTATTACAATGTATATTTTTTTCAATGGTAGTTTCCGTTGAGGAAATCAATTTTTTCATCTATACTAATATTATAAAGAGGAAAGATTTGTATTTTTGTATTTTTGTATTTTTGTATGTTTGTAATGAATAAACTCAAAAACTACTGGACCGATTGCAATAATTTTTTCACCATTAGAAAGCTGCATTATTCAGAAGTAACATAGGCTATATAATATCACGCTAGGTCTTATAGTTGTGGAGCAGTAACCAAAAATGTTTTAAAAACGGGGAAAAAGTATCGTTTCTGAGGCCTTCCGTGGCGTGCGCTGAGCATATAGTTAAAGTTATACAAAAATGCTCTATGGATGAATTGTTCATCTTAACATTATTTTTAAAAAAGTCCGCGAGAGCATATGTCTACCTTTTATAGTTTACCCATAACAATAGTTTAAATGAATGGTTCAATCCTTATAAAAGTTTGCTCTAGATAACTTTTGAATTGTTCAATCGGTTACCTAAAGACTATTAATTCATCCAAAAGGTACCTATTAGGTAAGTACTTATGTACTATTTCAAAAATAATAAACTGAGAATAAATTAAATATAAATAAAACGTAAAACTATGTAAAAAATCTTAAGTCCCCCCGTGCGAAGCCGGGACGGGCCGCTAGTAAATCATAATTATCATAATTTATAAATAATCTTGTAGGAAATTTAAGAATTATTTCTTAAATTTTCAATTTGTTTCTTTATAGGCAGTTAGATTTTAAAAATGGACATTATAATACCTTATAATTGCGCAATTTTCTTAATCAAAGATAAATTATTTCGACTATTCAGTCCAATAAAATATTAAAAAAAATCATACTTTCATTAATTGATTTTATGACAAACTTAATTTTAGTATTTTTTCAGTAAATTTTTAAGAAATAAGTATATTAAATAAATTATTATGTTGCATTCCGCGACCCGCGACGCGGCGACTGTCGCGCTGCTACTGAATGAGCCTCTAGCATGGCTTGAAACTAGTCGAGTTCCTCGTCAAATTACTACGTGAGTAAGCCGAAAACATAATAATGTATTCAGTATGTCTTACGAAAGTTACAATACAAATAAGTATACTGTTTGACAGCATATTAAACTGTCAAACACCAAGCAGTCACCGGTGACCGCAACCTATTGTTCTATAATTGTGTCTATAATGACGGTACTCGACGAGTTAATGTCAATAAGGTATTATAATGTCCATTTACCACGCTAAAAAAACGTGACGTCACAATATACAATTTCAGTTCAAAAAAAGTATTGCATTGGAGTAGTTGTCAAGCAGCCAAAGTAGGCCGGCAGTAAGCGGTACCTTGGGGCGGTGGTGCGGCGCGGGCGGGCCCTCGCCGGCCGCCAGCTGCTTCATGGACGCCGCCAGGGACGCGTCCAGCGACGCTGCGGGATGATTACTCTCACTCGCACCAATACTACACGGTACTCGATACACGAACCGACATATGTCTCCGTACGGGCCTCAACGGTACATACACATGGTGCTCACGTTGAGGTCGGTACGGTCGTGCGATATATATAACACATTTCAAGTAATTATCGAGCAGTGTATTTTCACTAATAACGAAGTAAAACTAATGAGAAAGGAGTTGCCAACTGTGCTATACTGTACTAAACTTAGATGCAATAAACTTTATAGTCACATTATCTGAGTGATCTTTTCTCTATACCAGTGGTTCCCAAACTTATTTTGTCTATTCCCACTTTGAAAATAAATATGTTTTTAGCGCCCCCATATGTTCACCCAGCCGACTGATGCAAAAGTGATTAAAATGCGAAAATGTGTCTGTTGGCTTTTTATTTGTTTGTTTGTGTCTACTTTCATTACGAAACGGAGCGACCGATTGACATGATTTTCATTTTTTCTATATTCAATACAATAGGACAGATATATGAATTACGAATCATCTGGGTCTCTTATCTCAAGGGGGCGTTATCGCCCACTTTGGGAAAAACTGCTCTACACACTCCAACCTCAACTACAAGTGTACGAATTGTACAATCTCATTCAAGAAGATGCTCAACATTTTCGAATACATAACATAACAGAGATTGATTCTTACGTACATATTCAGATTTTACATACGTACCTTTTAGCTTTTGCTACAACCTCGCCCCCCCCCCCTGACTATTTACGAAACCTCAATATTTTTTTCACTACTACAATTGATTTAAAACAAAAAAGACTTCCCTTTTATTTTCATACAACACAAGTCATTCTAAACAGTGTAAAACCACTTGAAAAATGGGCTGACATAATCTCATTCGTCAGTTAGCTTTAAGATCACATTTTAATTCTGAATCTCTAATACCGAGTTAATATCACGGGCTAGGAAAGTTTGTAATACAGGTCTTTCCTAGCTTGTGATACAGAGCTTTCCTAGTACATAATTCCTATTATATAAGGTCTACATCCCTTATTAAGATAATATTTAATATTTTCCTCATTTTATTATTTTATTGAATTAAAATAGTATAATAAACTTACAAGTAGTGTTTGTGACGGTAGGTTCACTAGTGGGTGGTGGTACAGAGACTGGCGCAGGCTCTACTGTAGATAGATTCTCGTTTAGCTGTAAAGGAAAACATAAAATTAATTCATTTTCATTCTTTTCCTGACCTAGCATATTACTATCTTCACCTAGGAACTTGGATATAATATTGTAAACGTGAATATTTTTGTTGAAAACTCTGTGATCTAATCAAAGTCAAGATCAAAATCATTTATTGCAATTAGACCAGGAAATCTTTGAATTTCAAAACATAATATTGAAATATTAAGTGTCAGTCTGTCGGTCAGTGTTGTAGTTGTTTTAGTTGCTCGTTCCAAAGTGCAGAATCCTATGGAGAAGAACGACCAAGAAACGCCAATACAATAGTTAGTAGTTTGTGGTCATGTACGTCACCATGTTGTTGGAGTACGCGGGCGCGGCGTCGGGCGCGGGGTCGGGGCGCGGGGGGGGCGCGGCCGCCGCGGGGGGGGGCGCCGCGCTCGCACTCGCCTCCGTGCCCGGCGTCGACTGGGAACGAGATGCTACTGTTATTGTTCCGCAACTAATTACTCAGGACAATTCCATCCGATGTCCTCGATAAGTCAAGTCCTCAATTTCCTCATCGATTGCATTAAGTAATAATGACCTAGGTCATAGTGTGAATCCGTCCATGTCTACTCAGTGAACTTTGACACACATCTATACTCGGAATTTTAATTCGATTCCAGATTTGACAATTTCAGTGTTGCAACGTTATGACAAGTACTAAATAGTGACGTTGCGAAATTATTCGATATGGAAATGCAATATTTCTGGATCGATTCTTCTTGTTTATAATTTGACTCTCGTAAACTAAGTATATCATGAAATTAAATATTTCTGAACCGATAATTTAGTTTTGACGATTAATTAACGATCTGAGACTTTTCTTCTAGAATTGTGTGTGAAATAAATAAAAAAATGTAATCATGAAGGAACATGACAAATAAAACAGATAGATGTATTATGGTAATAAGTTATTTTATAAATTGTCGCCGTCATCGCTATCGCTATCCTGTCACTTTCTGTAACATTTATTATAAAACACACAAAGTGATTGTTTACCGATTTTTGTGTTCATCACTACACTATTATATGTGGTATCATTATTTCACAAAATGACAGTAGCTATTGTCAAATCTGGAATCTAATTAAAATTCTGACTATAGTACAAATTTTTCAAGTTTACCTCCAGGGTAACACCTATATCAACAGTATTAAATGCGGTTGACATAAACCTTGATAATATATAAATAGCCAAACGCTGAACTATTATAAAAAAATATATTAACAGAAGTACTTCGGCCACGAATGACAAATCGCCCCCTCAATAATAATAACTCATTGAACATCTCCGTGAATAATAAAAATGATCAAGACACTCACCGGTTTGGGTGTGGTATTGTCCCTCAATGCCTCAGGTTCGAGTGCCCCGAACTGTACATCTAGGAACATCGCGCCCTCCGCCCCGCCCGGCATCTCCACCGCAGACGATGGAATCTATACACAAACACAATTACAAATATAATAAAATCATAGGAAAGTGAAACCTGTACATCGAATATTTAAAAAAAAAATGCTTTGAGCGTGATCTACAGTCGATACCGAGATCAAGATTATGGATTTTAGAATTTTTGTCCGTTTGTCTGTATGTATGTCCGAGATGAACTCAAAAAGTGCTGCATGGATTTATTTGAAATTTTGCATGAATATTAGTAACAGGTCAGGTCAACATATGAGCTACATATTATCATGCTATCAACTACGGGGGAGGAGCTGTGACCCACTATTCCAATTAACTACACTAAAAATTACAACATTTTGATATCGGCTAAAAATGAAGAGATGAATGTACATGAAGCGAAAGGTCATTACTATTAAGCACTGCACTGTTTCTACCCCAATGGCCAAAATATTGCCTATATTTATAAAATAAGCATCATCTTTAACAAACATACGGACACACAGACACTTCTCTTAGATTACTTTAGGGTTATCAAATAAATATAAGTGTAATGTGAAAGTATTCTTATTGTAGCCAATAGTGACGGACCTTAGAAGGCGGCGGTACTCTGGCCCGTTGTGGTTTCCTCTGACTGGACATGTCTGTGGACCCGTACACGCCGTAGTTGGACGTGTACACACCTGGAAGTACGTCGCGTGTTATTCATACAATTGTATATTTATCATCATCAACAACTGTCCCTGACACAGTTCTGCTTGTTTCCGTTGCTTCCGTCCATGCTTCACTACAAGGGTGTGAACTGAAAACCAGTGTTGGGTACTTACTTTTCTCAGGTCATACTGAGATGGCAAGCTGGCATGGTCATGTTGATACCATGTTTTTTTTTTATTATTTATTTTTATATTATTTTGTTGTTGCTTTCGTTTTAAATGTTTTTTTTTGTTTGTGTATTTGGTGCCTAAATAATTATTGACAGGACAGTGGGCCTCTTACTGAGAGGTTTAATAATATCTCCATACTTGGCAATCATTTCATCCCTGTTCAATTATGTAGGCACTAGCTGTTTGCTTATTAGATATAATTAGACTTTGAACACATTTTGAATGGAGCTTAAGTCATAATTATTCTAAATCTAGGAAACCGATATCCGGATAGAAAGCTCATTGACAGTGATATACCTGTGGGCAGAGTAGACGTGTGTTTGAATAATGTAAACGTATTGTACTACTCACTATTGTCATGCCTCTGCGATTGTTGCGTGAGTTGCGACAGGTACTGTGACTGCGCCGCCGTTAGACTGCCTGACATACCCATGGGCTGAAACACACAAATAAATAAATTAGAATAAATATCATCCACTTTCTACTATGAAGATACAAATTGAGTATTGATTAACTGCTTATAAAAAGTGGATCCAAACGAAATATTATTTTAATTGAAATGTCACAATTCTTTCAGTCACTGTTTTTTAAGGGAATAGAGGGCAAACAAGCGCATAAGTGAATTTTACTCATGATCAAGATCACCTTGTTTAAAATCAACTTGATAAAATGTACAATTGTTAGGAGTGTAAATATACGAGTAAGGAGGGAGAATCATACAACGGTTTCTCCCACCTTAGGTGAGGGGAGAGAGAGAGTGTCAGACTCTTATTGACTAATAACCAGCTTCGAGCCGGAGTCACGGTACCCGCAGCTCTGCATCTGGCTTCCGCCCCATTAGGCCAAGGACTCACGATGCGATTTTCAGCCGCACCCGCCGCGGTGGCGGAATGAGATTTTTTTTCAGAACTCCGCCGCAGTTGCTATTATCGTCCGCAAACTTGGCGGTTGAATATCGCAGGACAGGCGGTTAAACAATCAGTTCCCTCCCATTGCGGTCGCCCGCCAACCGACCGCAGCGGCGGCAAGCCGCGCCCGCCGGTATAGCGGGACCCGCAAACACGTACAAACGGGTCGTGAAATGGGCTTTAATGTTTTACATAGTACATATCTGTATTCTACAAAGGCTGCGGGGTCGCTGCCGCGGCGGGCGCGGGAGCAAATCGCGTCGTGAGTCCGTAGTGTTAGGGGAGCCCAGCTGAGGATCTGTAGTGGTTTTATGGCTGTGTCAGTAATGTACCTGATGGTGCACCTGGTGGTGGTACGTGTCTGGCGCGGGCTGTGTGTGTCAGTAATGTACCTGATGGTGCACCTGGTGGTGGTACGTGTCTGGCGCGGGCTGTGTGTGTCAGTAATGTACCTGATGGTGCACCTGGTGGTGGTACGTGTCTGGCGCGGGCTGTGTGTGTCAGTAATGTACCTGATGGTGCACCTGGTGGTGGTACGTGTCTGGCGCGGGCTGTGTGTGTCAGTAATGTACCTGATGGTGCACCTGGTGGTGGTACGTGTCTGGCGCGGGCTGTGTGTGTCAGTAATGTACCTGATGGTGCACCTGGTGGTGGTACGTGTCTGGCGCGGGCTGTGTGTGTCAGTAATGTACCTGATGGTGCACCTGGTGGTGGTACGTGTCTGGCGCGGGCTGTGTGTGTCAGTAATGTACCTGATGGTGCACCTGGTGGTGGTACGTGTCTGGCGCGGGCTGTGTGTGTCAGTAATGTACCTGATGGTGCACCTGGTGGTGGTACGTGTCTGGCGCGGGCTGTGTGTGTCAGTAATGTACCTGATGGTGCACCTGGTGGTGGTACGTGTCTGGCGCGGGCTGTGTGTGTCAGTAATGTACCTGATGGTGCACCTGGTGGTGGTACGTGTCTGGCGCGGGCTGTGTGTGTCAGTAATGTACCTGATGGTGCACCTGGTGGTGGTACGTGTCTGGCGCGGGCTGTGTGTCGGGCTGGGTGGCGGGGGGCGGGGGCTGCGTGTTGTTGCTGGGTGGGCCCGCCACACCCGCTACACTAGCCACGCTGGCCACCACCACCGGCGCCACGCTCACCGGCGACTGCCGGCTTACTGAGTTTATTTGCTGCTAAAAAATGGAAACAGAATTACAATGTTGTTGCTGACTCCGTCTTTTTCTGTTCTGCCATATAAAACGACATGACATCACAAACACCTCTTATTAAATATGTATTAAACCTCGATGTAGATGGATTTAAACGGTAAACAATCGCGAAGAAAAGATGCATGAAATGTGTAGGACATGATGAAATAAACAGGAATTAGTAACGTCACAATAGGGTAGATGACTCATTTTTATTTTAATGTCTATCTGATAAGATTATTTTAAAATATTAGACAGTTTTTTTTTTCTCATTTTCTTACGGAAACGGTTTTAATACTTTCGACCATAATGAATCATTTGAAGTATCGTGTTACGTCACTTCTAGGTATGTACGATTTATGATGATTAGAAATGACGTAGTTAGCTCCCAGCCCCTGTCGCGGAGAACCTAATGTCGCGGAGAACCTAACGGGTAACCGGGGCTCCGACTCGACGTGCAGGAGAAGGAACGGGGTGGTTTTTAGTCAGTAAGAGTCTGACACTCCCTCCCGCCTCACCCAGGCGGGAGCAGTCATTCGATGATTTTCCCCCCTTAAAAAAAAAGCTCCCAGCCCCCCACTTCTAAACTATTGTTTTCTTATACGACAAAATAAAAAAATACGTGTCTAATATTTTTCATTATCTAACTGACGGACTAAATAATTTTCAATTTTCATACCCCGTCATCATCCCTGTTGTTTTATGAGACAGATATTTTTGAAAAAGGAAAGGTGCCGCCCCAATTTGATTAATGAGAGAATGGAAAAGAAAAAGAAGTAATATTGCACCATTCCGAAGTAAGTTTTGAAATAAGGGTAAAAAGAGTGATGTGGTGCGTGTAGTTACCTCTCGCAGTTGATGGTGCGGGTGCGCGGGTATGTGCGCGGAGTTGTGGTACGTGTACGTGGGTATGTGCGCCTCCAGCGGACCTCCGCCCTCCGTGCCCTCCCACTCCTGCACCCACAAGGAACCAACTCAGTCACCCGCGAGAGATACTAATCTAAACCTTAATCCCATATACATTAGGCCCGAATTTTCAATGCTCAATTAAATATTAACTGAAGAATAACTTTCAATATTTGACAATTCTTCCATACTAAAAACTGTCAACTGACAATTTTCCACGGTTAAGAATTAACTGATGATTGAAAAATCGGCCCTTAGGAGCAAATAAACTGAGCCACTAGCGTTTTTTTTTTTAATTATTTTTATATTTTCGTTACAAGTATTTCATTAATTGAGTACTTGCCAACTAGTCAAATTCAATACTTTTTTCGAACTGTCAAAACCGGCTGATTTCTATGAATTTTGTACGAGATTGTGTATTGTGACGTCACGTTTTTTAGCGTCAAAAAACATACTTATTTCTTAAAAAATGCCGGGAACATACTAAAACTAACTAAGTTGGTCATAAAATCAATTATTTTTTATTAAGGAAAGTACCCAATTGGTAACGTATGTCCTATAAACGGCTATTTATTTAGTTACTTTTAAAATGAAATCATTTTATTGGAAAAGGAATCTATTTTTTTGAGGGTTGAATAAAATGAAAATACGCTAGTTGCTCTGATTCTTTACTCTGACGTGTATTTACGAATGATACTCTAACCGTCAGTCTCAATAAACTAGAAGGTAGATTCAACAACTAATAACTACAACAGAATTTAAAAAATCGTTAATATAAAATTGATTTTTTTTGGAATAAGACCACAACCTAGTACACAGATCACCGAATGGTAAGCAAACGACGCCGCCTATTGACCCTCGCAACATTATAGGCCTTTAATTAGGTCTCCAGTAATCTTACTACATACACAATGCTTCGATTGTTTCACCCTAATTTTCTGTACGGCCGTGATATCACTCCGGTCGAGCCGGACCATTAGTGCTAAAGTTTAGTTCTCATAACACGTCAAGAAGGTGTAAATACTATTTAATCTACCAACTGATGGTGTATTGAGACTGACTGTTATAAGCAGGCAAAGAGAGTTAATAGAGCCCACCATCTAAGGAGCTTAGCCCGTTTTCACCAATCTCTCCCAAATTTTAAGCCAAGTTAACGCCCGAATAATGAAAGGCTACTTAATTAGTTATTCTTCCATCTCTGTCATTTTACAACGAATCTGTGGAGACAGAACTATATTTGAGCGCGTCTTAAAATTGCGTGGCGTTTGAGTATTTCGTAACATTTAACTTTTTTTTTTAAACGTTGCCACACACTAGGATTTTCTCCTGTGTCGTGGGTGCGGTTACAAACATACAAGTTCACATACACATGACACCCAGACCCGGAACAACAATCTGTGGATCGCACAAAGAGTTGATCCGTGCGGGAATCGGACCCGCGACACGTTGCGTGGTTTTCATCAACATATAAGTGTCACGTAACAGTATAAGTAAGGGATTAGGGTGGGTTAGGGGTGATTGATGATAACGGTCAGAAGTGTACCTAGTTAGGTGGGGAAACAATGTCCACAAAAGCATTAGATATAGGAAGAAAAATTTAAAGCCGTAGACAGTAGATAATTCCAAAGTACAAATTCCTAATCATCAAACCAAAATATTAGTTTTAGAACAATTATTTGAAAACTATCTTTAACACAAAGGCGTTAAGTGGTTTTTTGTTTGCTTCTAATACTTACTTTAGTTTCCGTGGTCTGAGCATGAGAGAAAAGTACTATAGTTACTTATTTGACCATTTTTGTATGAAATTATAATGTTAATTAAAGTTAGATGAATTTCTACAAATACACAGGGAGTTACTGAACAATATTTTTGACAATGTATCAACACATTTTTTTTATACAAATTAGCCTGTGTTCTGAGAGCCCAAGCACGAATAACTATCGCATTCGTAAAGTAATAGTATCGAGCGCGTTCACCTCTCTGATTGGCCGGCTCAAGTGAACTAACCAATCAGAACGCTCAACTCGCTCGATACTGTTACGATACGAATGCGATAGTTATTCGTGCTTGGCACTCAAACTGGACAAAAATTATGATGTATTTGACAATTTCAGTGTGATGAAACATTGTAACATAAATAGTTTGAATTTTTAGAAGTATATTATTGTAAATAACATTTTGGACCATTTACCTATGTGTGCATAAATTACAAGTTTATTGAACAAAATTGTTGCATTATGATGTTAGTAATACTTAAAGTTAGGCTGGTTTTAGTCTCACACTGACGGCACGCGCATCTTCAGCGCTGATGGCCGAGATATATGAACTTCTAGGAAACGTTTCTGAACGTCGGAGCGCGCACGGTGCTCAGCGCTGACCACCAAGTTCATACATCTCGACTGTCCACCGTGCGCGCAGACAGCAACGCTACTACGAACATTATTTTTCAAATACTAGAAAGTTTTGTGAATATATGAATGAGTATGTGAAATATTTAAATTTTGCATTTTATTTTTACTTTTAGTTATATGTGTAACGAATAGTGTAATTGGTATTTGTACCATTCTATAAAAATAAAATTAGCCGAGCCGCTAGCGTGAGAGTAAAACCAGTCGCAATATTAGAGCGGGCATGAGAGCTGCGAGTAGGAGTGGGCGTGTATACGTACGGCGGCGGGCGCGGGCGCGGCCAGGTCTGCGGCCGGCGCGGCCGCCGCGGCCGCCGCGCTCGGGGTGAACACCTGCAACATGCGGCCGGGGACTCACTCACTATCTTACTACTACTTCGGGGGGAAAACCCTTGAAAACTTATTTATGTTTAACTAGCTTTTACCCGCGGCTTCATTCGCGTCACAAAAGGATAAAAAGTAGTCTATGTGGCATATACCAATACACAGCGCCATCTATACCAATACTTTTGTTTTCCCTCGGGAATATCAATTTTTTCCGGGATAAAAAGTACCCTATTATTTAATCCGGACTTCTAACTTTACGTCTGCAAAAATTGAAAGCAATCGATTAAGTAGTTACGACGTGAAAGCGGAACAAACAAACAAACAAACTCACTTTCCCATTTATAATAATTATTATATATAAATATAGTAAGGATATATTTGATGGGCTGACGTTTGACCACTATCGCGCCTGGTGGTAAGCGATGATGCGGTCTACGATGGAACACTTCGACCCATAAGCAACCTATTCACACGGGCATTGAAGACACCCAAGTTATACCCCTCAGGAAATACAGACTCTGGCAAAGATTTCCACTTTAAAATTTCTACTTTTTGGGTTAAGCTGGTAAACAAGTAAACGGTGCCAATGCACACTCGCAACACTAGAGAAGATGCTGCATTATCGGCCATTTGAAGGTTACGAAGTTGAAGGTTTTTATAGAATAGACCGATAAACAAAAGCAGATGGACCGACCGACAACACTAGAGGAGTTACTGCATTATCGGCCTTTTGAAGAGATTGTAGAGGGAGAAATCGGGCCTCCAGTAATCTGACTCGTGCAGAGAAGCATAACATTTTTAAAAATCATATATGAATCGAGCCAGCTCATTCAAGGCAAAACATGGCTTTCTTTCACTTAAATGTATGTTCTGAAAGAAAATAAATTATGATAGGCAGGGCACAAAGCCAGAATGGACAAAGAAAAGTGGACCATAAGAGTGTTCGAATAGAGACCATGATGATGAAGAGGATAGAGGAGGTTGTTGCCAATGAGATGAGTTGATGCTATAACACGCTCTGGGAAATAAATTGGATGCAAATGGCAACAGATAGCGCGCAATAAACAATGCCCTTAATATGTATTCCATACAAAGATCGAAATCACCAGCCCCCATATATTAGTAACAAATATCTTTTAACTAAATTCAACAATCATTTAACATTCGACCCTATATTCATACCAGATTTTCATTCTCAATAAAAATTTAAAGTATGTAACCTTACATTTAAAACCGCTTAACAGAAAACAACAAAATAATACGTACCTTGGTATCTGATAGGGAACCGGACCACTCCTCGTTGTCCCAGTCTTCTGTGGTGGGGAATGTGTCGACGATGTTGTTGCCACCTGTATGCATAAAAATATCGGGGTATAAGAGTACTTTTAGTAGTTTATTCACATTTTTTTTTTCAGCGAAATGCGATTTGTTTGTGTACTAGTAATCACAGAATGTAGAATCACAATGAAAGGAGTATTTTTACAAACAATGTTGTTTCAATATCAAGCTCTACCAGTACCTCACCTAGAGCTTGATATTCAAACAGTGATCCGGCTTGAAGGACCAGAACTTTAATATCAAGTTTCAGGTGTGTTGCTGGTGGAAAGACTTCGATATGATGAGAAAAGATTGTTTTTAAATAGGTACTGAATGTAAGGGTAAACCGATATGTGTGCACGGCGTCGTGAAAATAATAATAACATGTGATTTATGTTAATGGATGCGTTTTATAATTGGTATAAACCAGTGTCAAGCAGTGAGTTCCAGTGCACGGTGTACATACCGGCGGGCTGTGGGTCGTTCCAGCAGTTGGGGTCCCGGTCGGGGCGCAGGCGGCGGGGCGGCGCCCCCCGCGCCGAGCGCGCGCCCCCGCGGCCGCTCGCGGCCGCGCGGCGCGCCCCGCCCCCCGCGCCACGAGCCCTCGCCGCGCCGCTCCGGGCCCGCCGCGCGCTCCGACACCGGCGCCCGCTCGCCGCGCTCGCCCCGCTCGCCCGACCCTCGGCCTGCCCAACCAAACGACAACATTATTATATTTCTAAACAAAAACGTAACCGGCTCTTGCTGGAGCCGAAGCAAAAGGGGTATTTAAGTGAAATATAAGTTATGTATCTAAAAATTACAGGCATTAAAATAAAGATCTTAAATTTAATACCCAATTTTTTTTTTTGCTAGTAGTAAGCTTATGTAGTATGACAATACTTACGTGGCCTGGGTCCGGAGCGACTGCGTGGGTCTCGTGGTGGGTCTAACTCGCCGTTGCCCGCGGGAGCTGGTGGCTTCTTTTTCTTTTTCTCACTTGTTTGCCACTCGCCCTGTCAACAAAATACACGTAACGTTATAATAAAACAGTAGACCATACACATAGACATATGTAACTTCACAAAAGGTAACACTTGTATCTCTTCAAGTGTGTTGGGTGTTCAAGTTAAATGTCTTCAAGTTAAAAGACGCCGATTGGTTACAATCAGATGATTAGTCAGATCTTTTATCATAAACGACTTATAAAGTAGAAAAACATACCTGTATCCGCTGGCTCTCTTCGAGTAACAGGTTGCAGGCGACGACCATGTCGTTGTCCGAGTCGTGAAGTGCCGAGCACACTTCTTCCTCGGTACGACATGTCATCTCCATCAGCTCCAGCACCTGATGCAAATGAATATGCACTTTATTATAATCACGTAAACACCAATATCATATATCATTTATATTAAATGTGACGCCCACTTTCCACCATGTAATAAGGAGCTTTTGCCAGTATTCAGTAAGACTCGGAGGACACTTTGCCTAACGTCAAGACTACTTAACCAATGGGGCTGATACCGATTGATAACTCAAATAATTGATATACGCTAAAATACTATCTATAGTTCTGTCACTACAAATTTACAGACAACATGACAGAGATGACAACTTAAAATTGATAAGCCTTTTTCTATTCGGGTGATAGCAAGCTTCACTAATAGTACCAGCGCTAACTGATGAATGCCCGTGTCTAAACTGGACCAAGTCTAGATAAACATCGAGTACTTCCAATCTAGGCAGACAGATCGTTCACCAAAACGCTGGTACTTGCATTTTAAATACTCGCACAATAAGTACACAAACAATATGCTTCAAAATCGCATATAATTATGAATAGAGCATCTTGCTTAATTTATCTATCTCCGTCCGTGCATGCTGCTCATGAGGAAGAGTTTCTCTGTGACTCGAAACTAGTAGAGCATTTTTCAATTTATTAACGTGAATAAACCGATATTTTTAGCTAATTTTGTATGTCTCACGATAGTTACTATACAAATACAATTGAAGTTGCCATGGCAAAGAGCTACAAAGGACATTCTGATGATCACTTTCAATAATAAATCATGCGAGGAGTATCTGCAATTGCAGATATTCACTCAAGGGTCAGAAGTTAACCAATCAAGTCTGATTAAATGCTAAATTGAACATGTAAGCTTGTTAAACTGCACTGATATGCAATTTAGTACCTACTTTGTGTACGTACTAGCTTCTGCCAGTGGCTTCGCCCGCAATCCAGTAGGATGAAAAATACCCTATATGTTATTCCAGACCATAATCTACCCCTGTTTCAAATTTCCTCTCGATCCATTCAGCCGTTTTGACGTGAATGAGTAACAAACAAAAAAACATAAACTTCAACATTCATAATCTTAGTAGGATTATTCAAGTTGTTATGTAATACTAATTAAAAGTAATATATAACTTAGGAGAACTTATTGGAAGGATGTAAATCCTTTGCACAATTTGAAAAATTTGTCACTGAATATTGAAAAGTAGCTAGATCTCCTGCCAGCTTGATTTTGAGCACGAAGTTTCCGAAAACTTATTAATTTTCCTTTGACTCCAGAAACAATAATACTCTATCAATGCTCTCTGCTCAAGATACCAAAATATCAGCCTTCTACGTGAGTTGCGACTCCATACGTCGCTTTCGTCATTCTTAGTACTCTTCTGCACTTCCCAAAGAGAGCAGTAGACTGTAGGGTAATTACTACGCCCAGAAAATAGAACTTTATCACTTAATAACGAATGAATTTCACGTACAAACCGTCTATCGGTCAAAATTGATAACCGAACTTTTTCCAAAACGAATAGAGATCAAAATTTGATCATATTTGAGTGGAACTTTAGTCAAAAACCGATATAATTTCAGTTACAAAGAGTACAGGTACAATTTCACTAATGAAACCACACTACAATGATACATCGTCACCCATAGCCCACATCCATCCAACGATGCAAGCATCGTTTGATTACGTTGCAGTATGTTTCTCAGGCGCGACGGAAGTCAGCAATATACTCGAGTAGGTATTACCCTTGCATTTTCGTGTACCTCGCTACAATGTTGTTTCAACCGATCGGATTATTGTTAAGATGCACGACGGATTAAATTTGATTGCTTTGTTTGTGAAATCGTGAATTTTGTGTCAACATGGTGTTGTAGTACTTGGTGGGGAGGTGTAGTAAATTGTTTAGTACACCAAAGGTTTATTATGTGACTAACGAAAAGATAAAAATTACCATGTAAATGATTGATGTCAAAATACTGAAACGTCACTCAATTTTAAGTCGCGCTTCAGTATAGTTCTGTCACTAAGAATTTGTTGTAAAATGACAGAGATGGTACAATAATTATGTAAAACTTAAAATATAGCATTTCAATATTCAGGCCTGAATAAAAATTTGATATTTTTATCCAGATTATTATACAAAAACATAGATGATATATATTCCTTAATTCCTTATACATATAAATCCCGCTAACATAACCCATAATACATATTAGAATCGCAACTATCTGCCTACGATTACTGGGCCCGCCGACCGAGCGGCGATGCCGTTACTTTTCCCACGACACCGGGCGGCGTGTAAACGCATATCAAATCTATTATTGTGTGAGAAACTACATATGACAGGTACTCGAGTTAGTGAAGTAACTACTTGTAATATTGTAGCATGATGCTTATTTTTAGTACAAAGCTAGCCATTCATTAGTCAGGTACTTTTTCTAAAGGGGGGAAAATCATCGAATGACTGCTCCCGCCTGGGTGAGGAGCCCCGGTTACCCGTTAGGTTCTCCGCGACGTCCCTATGTATGCTTAGATCTTTAAAACTAAGCAATGGATTTTGATGCGGTTTTTTTTAATAGATAGAGGGATTGTTAAGAAAGGTTCATATGTATAATACATGCATATTGCACCCGTGCGAAGCCAGGGCGGGTCGCTAGTAGAAGATAATATGAATATTAAAAACTCACCATTCTTCGAACGTCAGACGCGTCATCGCTTTTACGATCGATCATGTGTGCCATGCGGAGCTGTTCTGTTGTTGCCTGCGAACAAACGTAATACAGGTTAGCATTGTAAGTATGATTATCAGATAGCAATTCTGTTACACATGTGTTTAAAGTTTAGTTTCCAATGTAATCTAGATAGCTTAAGAACAAAAGGATAAGTTAGCAATGTGCTTTTTTATTATGTCTAGGACTTTTTCCTGAGTCGTGGATTTGTTTACAAAATGTACCAATTTAAATCACATACACACCCAGATCCAGAACAACTTATGGATCACACAAAAAAAAGTTCTTTGCGACAGCCCACACATACATACCGTTAAACCTGTCTCCCATTGGGGTAGGCAGATATAAAATAGTACGCCAAATGACGCGATTCTGGCATACCTATGTCGCTTCATGTATCAGTTCATGCATGCCCATCGATTGAGGGTGCCTCTATACTACTGCGCTTTTTTAACATGCAGTCAAGTCAGAATTGTACCAGATAGCCCTAAACTAGTTCAACTTGTATACAAACCGAGAGTATGAGTTTAAGGCATTGGCTGCCAATAAAAAACTGTTGAAGGCAAATCCTCCGCTAATGTCGGTCACCGGTGACTGCCATGGCGTTTAACGTGTTAAACTATCTCGTAGGCCGAGTGCGACTACCGGGCAAGGGGTCTTGTCGAGGAAATAATTACTGGTTTTTTTTTAATTCTCAGTAGTAGCACGGTGTCTAAAAATAAACCCGGTATATGCCAATAGATTCATCCCCTATTACATGGGATTCATAACATAAATAGTGAAAAGTGAGTGTTACATTGTACAGAGATATTAAGTGCCATAAAGGGCGTGATATTATGTAATATGAGTTTAAAGTCAAAATAATTTATTTCAATTAGACCAGAAAGGCACTTTTGAATAGCAATCAAAAATTTAAGTGTCTTTCGGTCAGTCCTCTAGTGAAGCTATTTGCAAGGTGTAGAGTTTAACACACTTTTTCTACCGATATAACAAAATATAGGTCACAATGCCCCTACATGAGAACTTCGAGTTAGAACAACGTAACAGCACTCAACTACATTGTTGTAATTTGTATTACGCGCCCACGTTGCGAACTAGGGTTGCCAGCTCAATAAAATACGTAATAGGAAAATAATTGGCAACACCTTTTGTAATTAAAGTGTTTTATCGATTGCTTCAAAGTGAAAAAGGTTATAAATGGGGGTTTTTACATTTCTTAAATTAATAAATAATTTATGTATTAAAATTTATTTTAATATTAAAAAATATTGTACGAAACTTAAGCTTTAGTACTGGTACGTACAACTTATATATTTTTTAAATGGGATGAGCCCGCCACAACCTTCCAAAACCGCTGCAACTCCTATAACCCAGGAACTACAGTAGATACAACAATGAAAACACCGGAACACTGAAATCCGGCGCGTTTGAGGGACATGAATAACTGTCTTGAAACGAAATGTAGCAAAAGAGACGTACAGCTTATATTAAACAGATCAAATCATAATCAGAAGATGGTAAAATGAAAGTATAAAGGTTATTTAATAACCTATCCATGTTGGTTAACCCTACACCTACACTTACTAGCACTCTAATTGATTAGTACACCATTCCAATCTCCATATTGAAAATTAATTTATTCGACTATTATTTCAAGACTGCGCGATATCGAGATATAGACTGAACACACACTCAACACACAAATAAACACAAGGAAAATCAGATCAAATAACGTGGTCTGGTGAAAGAGTTATTTTGAAGGGTCTAGTGTAAGTCTAAATCATTTATTTCAATTAGCCTAGAAAGGCACATCTAAATGTTAAAAAAAAAATTAAAGTGTCAGTCTGTCAGTCCTCTAGTGAAGCTATTTGCTCGTTCTAAAGTGTAGATTCCTGTGGAGAAGAACAAGCTAGAAACTCCACTTGAGTTACTTTTTAATTATTCCTAGAGTGGAAAAGAGAAAATATTTACTGTTTAATGTCACATAATTTGTTTTGGCAAATATGAGTTATATAATAACATAATTCTTTTAAAACTACTTTACACATTGACGTCACAGCATGGCATTGTCAAAAAATCGTCTATATTTTTTTAAATAATCCATTTGAGAGTTCGGACAGCCCTAGCCCCACCCCCGGTTTACAAGCTCGCCGGTAGCAACGGTCGAGTATCAAGTTCTCATTATTTCGCAAAACAAATGATACACAACAATTATTACAGAGAGCTTTGTAAACAATTCCAGATTATTTCGGTAAATAGTATTGATCGGATATTTTTGGGGGATTCTGTGTATCAAATCGATCAAGTCTTTATAAATATTCGAGGAGGTAAAAATAAGCGATCATAATTTGTATTTCCTTATAACTAAGCTGAAGGCGGGCTAGTTTCCAATTTACGAAGGGGCTTATGTTCAGCAGAGGATTTTTTCTGGTTCATATGATGATGACGATGGCTTCAAGAAACTCTAAGAAAGCCACGTGCTAAGCGCACTTTTGCCACCAACCCGTGTCTTCAAGCACGTGTCGAAAGAGCTGAATAAGTCTTCACATTTGACAGAGACCAGAGAGTAGGGTCCTCTGACAAACATGAACCTTTTAAACCGCAATCTCAAAGCGCTTGGCAAGCGTTGAGATTAAGGCAAATGAGTAAATGATAATACTCTCATGGGTCGATGATGATGATGTTATTATGTGATCTCTCGCGCCTGCCAAACGAGGAGATTATAGCAAATCTTATGTAGAGCACGTAAAGTATGTATGACTGCACGGTTGGTGCCATAGCTGGGAAACCGGCTGCCGCGCAACGTGTAGCGGGTTCAGTTCCCCCATGGAACAACTCTTTGTGTAATCCACAAGTTGTTGTTCTGGGTCCGAGTGTCATGTGTATGCGAATTGTGTTTTTGTAAACGCATCCACGACACAGGCGAAAATTCTAGTTCGCTCATAGTCCCGGAGCTGACGTCATCGAAAAAAGAGAAAGAAGTTTTTTTTTTCATTCAATTTACATATTAACGTTTTCGTATCGCGTAATAAAATGGAGATAAGTTGGTATAATCGTAGATATGACAATAACAGCGGCCGACCTTGACGGCGTGACCTGCGTGTCATTGACCCTGAGTTTAGCGAGACGTGCCGATTGCTCACCAACTTGAAGGAGAAAAATTTTAGCAAAATTTTATGCAATGCCTTCTAAACGTATACCTACATTATACGTGTGTTATAAGTTTATTCTTATGTAAAAATTTAGTACGATTTGGTTTTCTTGAATGAGTGCGTTTGACGTAATTTTTATCAAGTTATTCTTTATAATCTTTGGCTTCTATATGCCTGGTACTTATATTTTTCATAAGGCGTTGATCAAAGTAGCCTAGGATCAAATTCCACTAAAAAATAGACTTAAGTAGTAGTACAATCGTCAAATTAGAATCCTGACCCACTATAAGCTTATCCTACAGACATTCATTCATATATTCCACATCAAATACATATTCTTATAGATCATATTCGCGTAACATACATTTTTATGGCAACGATCTTGATCTTTTTGGATGTTTTTTCAGAAAGGGGTGATGATTTTTTTTGGCGATTGTACTTAGGCATTTAGTATGTGTTTCCATCAGTTACCTGTGGTTTCACCTTCTCCTTGCTCTGGGTTTTGTCTGTGCTCTTCCGGGTGTCCTGTGCATGCTTGCTGTCCTTAGCGCCCCCCTTCGCACCACCCTTGGTGGCGCGCGCACCCAAACTCATCTTTAAACTATATACGTTATATTTACAGCCTCTATTTACAATAGCTGAAACAAAATTGAAACACATTAGTGTTTGATGTCTTTTTCCCATCAATTCTGTATGAGCCGGTCTATCGTCTCAAATACCACATCTGAGAACCATTTGGGTACAGAATTAAACAAACCGTAGTCATCTCAACAGTTACGTTATAAATAGTGCTATCGGTTATTTCGTCTATCGCATATTTCATTGTAAATTGCGATAATTATAAAACACTTTTGTTATTAATCTGTCCTGTACAAGCCACAATAGGCAAGCCACTACAGGCGCTCAATTCCAACCCTTTCAATCAAAATTAGATTTACGAGGTATCCTAAGTCGTTTCGAGCGATAAGTCTACTAGAACGAGGTCACAAGCAGACTAAAAATACCTCAAGGACGATATACCTTTAAGAAACAGTTGCTAACGTCATGTTGCTATTATTAGACAGAACTTTGCCAAAATTAGGGGATTATCCGCACCACTTACAAAGCTCAAACCAGTTTTATCACTTATTCGTGTGATCGCCAAAATAACTAAGGAATGCAATCCGGATATCCTTTGAATGAGGTAATGTGGAAATGTTATCGAAGTACTACCGACCTGACCCGCGGCTTCGCTCGCGTCACACATCTATACCATTTCTTTTGTTTTCCCTCGGGAATATCAAAATTTTCCGGGATTAAAAGTACCCTATTATTTATTCCGGACCTCTAACTTTACGCCTGCAAAAATTCAAAGCAATCGGTTTAGAAGTTACGGCGTGAAAGTGGAACAAACAAACAAACTCACTTTCCCATTTATAATAGTATAAGGATACCATATGGGACACTTTGGATGCAAAAAAAATGTTTGTAAACAACCCTTCGCCTCTAAGACATCGGTAAAAAAAAACACTACCTACTTTTTTCTGTTGTCCTGAATGAATGGTTTTTCGGAATGTACGCTAACGTAACGCTATTCTATTGTGATATTCGAAACAACTTTGGAAAGAGGACTTGGGGAAATCCCCTTGCCCCTAATTTAAATAAGGTTCCTTGACTTTATACGTATCTACGTCATAACCTTTTTTTTTTAAAACTGTCAAATACAAAGCGGTCACCGGTGACCGCAACCTATTGTTCTATAATTGTGTCTATAATGACGGTACTCGACGAGTCAAGGGGGGAAAGTCATCGAATGACTGCTCCCGCCTGGATGAGGCGGGAGTGTCAGACTCTTACTGACTAAAAACCACCCCGTTCCTTCTCCTGCACTTCGAGCCGGAGCCCCGGTTAATACCCGTTAGGTTCTCCGCGACATCTACGTCATAACCTACGTTATGGCTGTGAATTCCAAATATCTTTGTTTATTTTACGAAATATGAGACTTTCAACCTCTAGAAACTGGTCCTAAATGTTGGAGAGAGAACGGTAATCAGATCAGCAGATATTGGTATTAATTCGATAGAGTGTATAACTTAGTATTACACCTTTTGTACTGTGATTAATATGGACTGGTTTGTAGACCATTTCTTTAAATTAATAGCGATTGCTATCACACTAACAGCTCAAATATTTTCTGTTCTGACTCAGAAAACCACATGGCAAGCTGAAAATGTATGAAAACAAATAAAAACGTGAGTAAACGGTGAATTCGTGGCGAAAGTAGACGGTACATTGATTTGTTTACGCTTACAGATCGTAAAAAATATTGTACACTAGACGATGTTGTCTAGTGTGGAATATATTAGCTTACAATCTTAATCTTGACTGCCTCGTTGGCTGAGTGGTCGCAAGTGCGACTGCCGGGCAAGGGGTCTCGGGTTCGATTCCCGGGTCGGGCAAAGTATTACTGGGTTTTTAAAAATCTCAGTAATAGCAGGGAGTCTGGAAATGTGCCGGGTATATAGCAATAGGCTCACCCCCTATTACATGGGGCTTATAACATAAATAGTGAAAAGTGGATGTTACATTGTACAGTGGCTTTAAGTGCCGAAATGTGCACCTCTGCCTACCCCTGCGGGGATAAAAAGGCGTGATGTTATGTTATGTTGTTACAATCTTAATATTATTACGACCTTTTTATGAGACAATAATAACTGTTGTGGTACTATGTCTCATGGCATATTATTGAGCAAATTATGTCGAACTAAAACGGTACGAATTTGTAAAAGTCTGGAGGTGGGATAATAAGGTTGCAGAATAAAGTATGCACCCCGAGTTCGCGTATACCTACGTTTATGCAATTTATTATCTGTTGCATTGTGCGCTGAAACTCGCAACCATGAAGGAAATTCGGTCAAGGCAACATTGCTTATTTAGTTCAACGTAAACTTGCTTTCAAGCTAATTTCATCTGAGAATTTTCTGATAAAAACTGCGAATTGAGTCACAAGTATACTTTCTTGTCGTCTAAAACTTGGTCTTGACCCAGCACATTGACTCACTCTTTACGTAACCATAACCGAGAACACTACAAAATAAAAACCTCCTTCGTAAATATATTTTGCTATGCTATGAGTCATGCAAAACCGCATTCTTCAAGTCGTAACCGTCCAAAAACAACACGCTTACTTATCTATCAAAACAAGCACAAGGCACAAAGTCATTCAGCCTGCAATGTCAATAAATATGGCGGTCTGTCATTTACTTGCGACTCTGTTATTATTGTGGTTCGCCGTGCAACGTATGGCGTGGCCCTACCTCCGTTGTATTGAATATAACAGGTGGTGTATAATTATGACGTAATTATAGGTAGGGAAATTAACCACGTGGGACTTTGTGGTAGGATGAGAAAGTAACGGCAGCAAAACAAACATAAAATATGCATACAGTCAGAGTACTAATTAAATTGGAATACAATTTAATTTGCGACTTTTTTTTAATAAGCTAATACACCAAACTTACTCAGCCAATCAAAATAAACTCCTTAGATCCAACACTTATTAAATTCTTATGTATGACAGATGAACGGAATACACAAATAAACTACTTTAAAAACTCAAGCAATCAAAAGTTTTGTTTGCGATAGGTAGAAATTAGCACAATGTTGGACATTTGCACCGCACAGAGCAACTGTCTATGACAGCCTCTACAAGAGACTGAATGAGCAAACTGCAATTAAGACCATACTGAATATAAGGGATCATTTACAAATGAAATAAGTAGTTAACATTAACCACACTATTAATATATTTGCTTAATAAGTGATAGTTATTTTGTAATTAGCTAATATATAAAAAATGCGTCGAATAATGCACATTCCCGCCAAAAGAAATAAAGTAAATAAATACAAGTGTTCCTAAAAGGACAGTGTATTCCTAATTCGTCAGGAAGAAATATAAAGGATACTTTATGTCTAGATATTCTTATCAGATTGAAACTATTTAGAAGAAATCTTTTCAATTCTAGGCCAGTAAAGCTGTAGGTTGAAAGTTTGGGAGTTTGTATGCATATTTGTAACTTGATAATGTCAAAATGGGTGAAAGGATCGGGTTGAAATTTGGAATAGGGATAGATTATAGTCTGCAAGAACACATAGACTATATTTTATGCCACGGGAACACGGGCGAAGCCGCTGGTAGAAGCTAGTATTTAATCATGTCGCGGAGAACCTAATGGGTTACCGGGGCTCCGGCTCGAAGTGCAGGAAAAGGAACAGGGTGGTATTTAGTCAGTAAGAGTCTGATACTCCTTCCCGCCTCACCCAGGCGGGACAAGACATTCGATGTTATTTTCCCCCTTAAAAAAAAGTTCTCAAGCTGATTGTATAAATCAGCTTGAGAACATGCAAGCAAAATCGCGGGAAATACCAGCAGAATATAAAAAAACTGAGACATTATTAAGAAACCAGGAAGTAAGGATTTGTTGCCAAGTTTGGCTACAAACAGTACATTAGAACCAGTGCCAATTCTATTAATGTTACTTCACTGCTTATCAATCTGAATGTATTTGCATATTAACATTCATAACTACACGATAAGGGGGCTAGTTGTCATATGAAAACTTTTTTAGTCTCCAAAGATGAAGAGGTCTTTGAAAACATTGTTTTTAAGCCGTATATACCCCAAGCGGTCACTGGTGACCTCTCTCCACTAACTACATTATAGACCTTATTTCCTTTAGAGATTACTTTTGTATAAACAAAATTAGGGGATGGTTTTCAACAATTTTCAACGAATAATCAGATTCCAATACATCATAGCTTTACATAAATGGAGGGAAAATAAGGCTATAGTAGAAAATAATCCTGTTGTTTCGACACAACTGAAATATAGCTATAACTTTGTATAGAAAATTACATACTAAGAAATAAAGACTCTCTTGAGTACCAAAAGTAAAAAAGCATGTTTGAACTTGAACCTCAAAATGAAAGAACCTACAACTACTGCTACAAATGAATGAAAACAACATCAAAACAAGAAACTTATGTAAAGTTTAAATCAGAATACAAATAGAAACAAGACTATTATATTATATATATTTGTACAAGATTCTGTCAATAACACTCAATTGGTTGCATAGTGGGGTCAAGGTGCCTTTTGCATTCAATTACTTGCATTCTTAGAACTAAAGGCTTCATTGTACATACTAAGTTTCAAAAAAGGATATTTCCTAGCTTGTTAGGATAGTCTATTTCAACAAACTTTTTGTTAAATTTGAATTTTGAACCTTACTTTGAGCAATTATTTGCCATGAAATTATTACTACTTAATATTTAGCAATGCATAGATATTTTTTTCATGAAACTAATTTAAAAAATCGACCCAATGTTTAGAAATCTACTAATGTAGCCCAATGGTGCTGATACTCGCGACTCGAAGTGCATGAGTAGGAACGGGGTGATTTTTAGTCAGAAAGAGTCTGAGACTCCAGAACTCATTCCATGATTTTACCCCTTTAAAAATTTTTTTAGAAATATTCAATTGAGGTAGGTAATAGAAATCAGCAGTAAATATTATCAAAATAAATATATGGAAATAGAGGGCATTAAAAAGTTTTCTACACCATAAAAACTCTGAACATAGCTAGTATAAGCTAACCTTACACTACTCTCTTATATAAAGCTGAAGAGTTAATTTGTTTCTCTTGAACTACTAGTTTGATTTGAATAATTCTTCTTGTGTTAGACAGTGCATATATCAAGGAAGGCTACAGGCTATAAAATATCATGCTATGATCAAAAGGAGCCAAGCAGTGAGTAAAAATGTGAGTAGCTAGTGAGTTTATAATTTAAAAAATTCTTGTAATTCCTTGTTAATAGTTGTAACTATGAATGATTTAATTGTATAATGGTCATTAATAAAGTCCTGTAATAACTTGTTTTGTCTTAGAATTCTTCTAGACAATAAAAGAAAGGCAATTCCCTTATTCAAGTTACCGCAAGCAAATAGAAAATAGAATGTGACTGTATTATATAACATCCATAGAATAAAAATGTGGAATTTCTTAATGACTAAAGATAAAGCTAAAGAATGTAATTATTACAGTTATTAAATTAATTTGCAGCCATAAAACATGTTAGTTTCACTAGAAGTAATTTTACCTTTTTTGATGTTGTTTTCTTAGATTAAAAGATGTTTATGAATATAAAATGCTTTAGTATTTGTGTTAGCAAAATCACTAGAATGTTAATATTGGACTGTTTGAAAGGTCATTGAACTTGACACTGATAAAATTTGAATAAAAGTAACTAAATTACACCATTTTTGTTGTAGATGTTATACAGAACCATGTAATAAGCAGGTAAATGATATAATAACTTTGATTCCATCCTTGTACAATGAAAATTACTAGAGGAAACCACTAAATAAACATATTGGTAAAAGTATAGTAGAATTTGAGCATCAATCGTCAGTATTCAGAACTACAGAGGTTGAAAATTAAATACCACAACCAGATTCACGGAAAATCATTTCGTGAACGCCCAATTTGCGAATTGGAAGTGCATTCAAATAACCTACCGGCGTCTATGATCACTGCACGATAAATTCTTAAAACATGACTGGAGCGAACGAATTCTACTACTTACCTACAGGGAAAACAATGATAACAAAGTTAAAAAGAAAGTTATCGTACTCCGGCTGTCGTGAGAGCGGTAAAATGGTAAACAAAACAAATGGGCGGATCTCGAAAAAATCACTATTTTACTAATCAAAACACACGAAATGACCAATTACTACACTAAATTAAGCTTTAGTAACGTCTAAAACAATGATTTGTGGCGTTTTTTTCCGTAATATTTCGCAAAATTCGGAACAATGAATCATTGAAAGTGGCAGTGCAAGGGCACCGTATGAACCACGAAATTTTCGTCATTATTCTACCGGAACACTGCCGGAAACCTCATGCAGTAGCTGTTTCACGCCATTTCAACAGCTCACGTCATCATATTCAAGCACCGCCAAGACGAAACTCAATAGGCCAGCGGCACATGTGGGGGACGCCATTCTTGAAGCACCTTTCTTGGTATCAAAATGACAGTCTTTGTTGACGAAATAACCGTGCACAGCACCATTTATCACCTTATTTCCACGCACATGATCACTCGATTTTAGCGCAACGTTAATATTTACCTTATTTCTACAATAATGTCGAAAATATAACTAAATTTCTAATAAAATTTACTAATTTCCATACCTGTTAGTGCGCTCAAACGCAAGCTGGTCACGTGACTTTCTAGGGATGGGACATTACTAGAAAAAATCGTAATTGTCTACAGAATGGCCAGTTTTAAGCGAAGTTTTTGATTTAATGTCAAACTTGGTAGCTTTGCAATATGAAGTGGATTAGAAAGAAATGTATTTATAAGTCTATAAAATTTAAATATATATTTTTAAAATGTAAATTATCTCTATATAAACCGGTAAGACCAAGGGTTGCAAGTTAAAATAAATTGTAAATATGATTTGTTATCGATGCCTGAACTTGATTGGCTTGAAATAAATTTAACTAAACGCACATGATGTAGTCTTATTTTGTAAAAAGTGAAAAAGGATGCAAATATTTCCTGTAATGTATTAATGTCTTGTAGTATTTAGGTTATTTTATGTGCATGAACTAATATACGTATCGTTTTATTTTTGGCGCCATTCTTAAAGGAATTACGATTATACTACTGAAGAAGTTTACAGTGCGAATCGTTTTATTCTGTAATATTTCATACATTAGTTTTATTTATTTACTTTGTGTGTATTATATGGTCTAGTACTTACAGTGCAATAAATAGTCTAGTACTTATTGTGTATTTTATTTATATTATGGTCGGTGTCGGTATGGATATTTATACTAGACAGTATAAAATGACGCTCAACCGTCATAAATAATAACCGTAACTTATTTTACGGATCTAAATCGAAAAGCGAAAGCGCTGCACTGCTTAGGGCGTTCCACAGGTAAAAAAATTCGTCGAGAAATCAAAGCGATTGGATTTTGTACATTTTGTGTTGAATAAATTAAAATGACATAAACAAAATAAAAATATATCAATATTTCAGAAAAATATGTGCTTAAGTGATTAATGCCATAATTCTACTAAGTCTCTAATTTATTTTTAGCAGTAATTGTTATTTGTAGCATTACGATTCTGAACGAATCCATAAAAAAATAAAAACATTGTTCCCGCTAAATTTAATGACTTGTCAAAAATATCACGAAGATTGATTTTGAGGAGATTCTATTTCAGTTTATACTGAGTGCGACGTTAATGAATGCAAATTAATGTCTTTACTGGAGGATATATTTTTACAAGATGAGGCGGATGAAGCTCAAGAGCTGGAAAGAGTGATAGAAGGCGACGAGTACGATGAAAGACCTCGTTCACGCGCAGTTTCACCAACTAGCGATGACAATGAACCAAAAGAAGATGAAGCAGGTACGGTAATTTAAAAAGTCTCACTTAAAATTCTATATTTGTAAACAAATGTATTATTGTGTCTTATCGGACCTAACCTCTACATACCCCGGTTTTCTTGAATACAAATCCAATTAGCCTATAAATACAAATAGTTATATTACAAGACAAGTAGTTACTCTTCCCAAAGATGTCAAATCAATTTCCGTAATTTACATTTTATTCTAAATACTTCATCTGCCATCTGGTGACCATAAAATTTCCATTTTTGTATATTAACTGTAAAATTATAATTATACAGAGGAGGACAAAAGGCGAGTGGATCCCACTTCAACTAAAGCTAAACGAGTAACAAAGAATCCAAGGTTCTTGTTGAACCCGGCTAGGCTGACAGGACCTAGAGGCATACAGGTCATACCAGAACATTTCAAAGATTTCAAGTTTAAGGGTAAGTTGGCTTACACAAAGTTTTTAATTAAACTGTCAAACACCAAGCGGTCGCCGGTGACCGCAACCTATTGTTTTATAATTGTGTCTATAATGACGGTACTCGACGAGTTAACTTGCAATATATATAATACCTGTGCATGTCTGTGGAATGGAATCTTGCAACTGACTTTTGAAGCAGATATCTTCAATCAATCAAACTGAAATGTTTAGTCAGTGTTATATATTAAGGTGCACTTTTCCTTGCAGGTATTTTAGGTGAGTGAAATATGTGGTTGTAGGTACTACACTTTTAACTATGTTCTTAATACTTATGACGGCACACACATGCATTTGTACTTAGTAAACATACCTACGCATACAAACAGATTCTAACACAACAGTCAGCATGACTAAATGCAATGCAAGCAATTGATGTGAAAGCTTGTCCTAATTTAAATATTGCATTTTTATTTTGTTTGTAATAATAATAATCATTATTTTATTTTCCATGAAGAATCTTCTTCATAGAAAATAAAACGCCATTACGACATAAGCCGGTAAACAAGCAGATGGTAATGCATGATGGTAAGCAATTGGCGTCGCCCATGAACACCTGGAATACCAGAGGTGTTACAAGTGTATTACTGGCCTTTTGGGGATTAGGAGTTTGAGGATTGTTGGGGATTCAGGGATTGAGGAGATTGGGGAAGGGGAGGGTAATTGGGCCTCCGGTAACCTCACTCACACGACAAAACACGACGCAAGCGTTGCTTCACGTCTGTTTTCTGTGATGCTGTGGAATCACTTCTGTTGAGCTGGCCCATTCATGCCGAAGCATGGCTCTCCCACAATTAATGTATTGCTTAATTTTTCAGGCAAAGGACATGAAAAAGAAGATCTAGATTTGGTGTTAAAGAAATTGGAACATTGGGCGTATAGATTGTACCCAAAGTTTCAGTTTGAAGACTGTTTAAAAAAGATCGAGACTCTCGGCAAGAAGAGGCCAGTTATGGTAAGACAATGGGGACTACTTACGTACGCTTTTTGCTTACTAGATAGAGTTAGTGAGATCCTCTCGTCTTTTCGTCCAATAGGGAATTAGCTACTGTCACTCCGTTAGTAGTTCAATTTTTGACAGCTACAGTGATTGGAAAATGTATTTTCAACAGTCTGTTTTTTTTTTGCTTAAGCCGGTAAACGAGCAGATGGATCACCTGATGGTAAGCAATCGGCGTCGCCCATGGACACCTGGAACACCAGAGGCGACACAAGTGCGTTACCGGCCTTTTGGGGATTAGGAGTTTGAGGATCGTTGGGGATTCAGGGATTGGAGAGATTGGGTAAGGGGAGGGTAATTGGGCCTCCGGTAACCTCACTCACACGACGAAACACAACGCAAGCTTGGTTGGTTGGTTTTCTGCTCGACCGTGGTATCACTCTGGTCGAGCCGGCCCATTCGTGCCGAAGCATGGCTCTCCCACACTTACTTACTAGTTATAAGGCAGTAAGGTTGAAAATCTATTTTAAGAGGCAGTAAGTTAATAATCTAATAGGATATGAACACTTTGGTTGTTAGTCTATACAATCAAACTGTGTGCTTGTTCTTACCACTTTCAGCCTTTTACTTTAAGTATTTATTTAAAATCATTGAATTATTTTTGACCCTGACAAAATAGAGCAATTAATAATTGGTTAGTAGGTTTTATTAGCTAAAGATATAGCTGAATAAGTTCGTCACACCCTAATGCATCCTGCATTTGATTTACCATCTTCTATCCATCCAGTTGTCTCCCAGCTTTGGTGCTAACCAGTAAAACTTTGTGTTTATATTGTCTTAGAAAATACAGAATTCACAACGAATTTTAAAACTACAAAGTATTACAACACCCAAGCTGGGAGATTACTGGCATGCTAATACTATAGGGTCGCAGGCGAAGTTACGCACTTGAAAATATATAAAAGATATCAACACATCCACCACAGCTACCATCAACAAGGCCCTCACCTTTGATATCTTTTAAAACACACTTTCACAGGTCCATCTCCACAAAATTCGCACAGACCAGTTCTTATCTGAAGAGACAGTGGTTCAAAAGGACTCCAGTGATGAGGAAACGCAGCCACCTCAGGAAGAGGATGAGTTTGACAAGCTTTTGCAGCAACAAATCGACCTGGCTAGAGCTACACCTGCTCCAGGATCTGTGAAGAAGACCATGGCTACTCCTGCTACTCCATTGCAAGACAGGTTGGGTTTTTTTGTAGTAGGATTACTTGAAAATATTAGGAGGTGGAATTTATTGATGGTATACAATTTTGTCACTAGAAAATAACAAGCCTGCAGCAAGACAGCAAGTCTATAACTTTCCTAGGTTTATAAAATTATGGTTCATGTTATTTTCCAGTGACATATTATATCTTTTTTTATATCACGACGTGTTTATCCCTGCCGGGGTAGGCAGAGGTGCACATTACAGCACTTAATGCCACTGTACAATGTAACACCTACTTTTCACTATTTTATGTTATAAGTCTCATGTAATAGGGGGTGAGCCTATTGCCATAAACCGTGCACGATACCACACTCCATGCTACTATTGTACTACTGAGGAATTTTCGGGAAACCTAAAAATGGACCAAAAGCATATATCCGGCCCGGGAATCGAGCCCGCGATCTCTTGCCCGGCAATAGCACTAATGAGGCAGGTAGCAGTGATTGCACAGCTTGACAATAAAGAGAGGTGACAGTTGGAACTAATATTGACTTTGACTGAATCACCCACTGCACTGCGAACCATATCCCATGAATCATATCATATCCGATGATTGTTTATTCATGGAATACATACTACTAATCAGCGTTAGTATATCAAGTTGCCACAGGTTTGATACTAGCGACCTCAATAATTTGCCAAGCTGTATGTCTATTGTAGTATCAAGTTTAGTTAGGTACAATATTCTATGTTACAGTATTTCCCAAAAAAAAGATTAATCCGCTTCCAAGATAGAGTATATCTCGGCTTCATTACAATCCTCTAACTCAAATTCGTCATCCACAGATCACCATTCACAATGCCGAAAGCAACCTCATCGCCATCTATAAGCGACGAACAAAAAGAAAGAATGATTAGAAACCGACAACTAGCTGAAGAGAGACGCTTAGCGCGATTAAAACAAAATTCTACTACAATACAAAGCACTGCCCACAATATTAGTGGGACAATTGAAGTAGATGAAGAAGTAGACAATCATCTTGTAACAAAGAAAAATAGATCAAATGTCATAGACAGTTCAGATGACGATTGTGACGTCACTAATGTTCAAGAAGCTGTTATGGTAGATGTGCATGGACATAGTAATGGTGCAAGTAAAGATTTCGATGAAGATCTTGGTAAAGAGACTGATAGAAATTATGATATGGAACATA